GTAAAAAGAAAAATTCCTCCTGCGTCAAGGCTCACGTGGTACAGTAGTCTCCGTCAAATGACGAATGTGAAATGTTGATTAATGCAGAAAATGTGTGAATCTCGAGAGCACGATGAGGCACACGGAGACTTGCAACCAATGATGAGGTCAAATTGGTCACGGTGTCAGTTCTCCATCTGCGGAGGTCAAGGAGGTAGGTATGGGCTCAGACCCTAGGGAGCAGGCAGGAAGAGGGCGGCCGCACAGAGCAGGTAGTCGATTCCAGGGCAAATACCTTATGAGGCCATCCGTTCATTGTAGGTGGTGGCAGTGGGAAGTTTGCCTGTATGAGGCGGAACAGTGTACCCTGTGTCTGAAGCAGATGCGCCTGTAGTGCACGAAAAATGTATTGAGCAAGAGCAACAGGACATATACAAACGGTGTCTCACATGGCAAGACTAGTTTCTCACGAAAGTTTTAATAAAGGCAACTATTGCACGCACGTCCTAGAGGAGCTGCTGTGCCTCGGCCCAGAACAGCTCCGGGTGGTCGATCCTCAACTGGGCGTACTCGGGGAGCTGCGTCGGCGCCACGGGCAGGTGCGCCGCCTCCGGCTTGAAGCCACCCTCGTCGGCCACGTACGACACTTGGTACGTCTGGCCGTCATCACTGACGAACTGGAAGCTGCCCTGCTGGCTGAGACTGCCGGTGCCCGGCTCCGGGCCGGGGAACACGCGGCCCGTCTCGCTGACGATCTGGCCGTTGTCCTGGTCGTAGCCGTACTCGTAGTTGCCCTGCGGGTCCTGCTCGAACCGTTGGCTCACGATGCGCACCTGAGGCTGGCTTCCTGGGAAGTTCTGCTGGAACCCCTGGGGGGCGGCGGCGGCCACAGCCAGCACGGCGGCAAACACAATCTGAAACACACACAGGGGAACAGGGTCAACTTTGCTTTCATTGTGGTGTCGGTCATCGTCGATGCTGCTGAATGTGCCGTGCTATCTGATAACAAGGTAAATGTGACACTGGTTCGCAAGCTGCCGGCCTCTGCCTGGCATTGGCGCATGTGTTAGCGGTGCGCCAGCTCACCTGGTTCATGTCAGCGTTCTGTGGAACTCGCTCAGGCTAACACCGGTGGAGTGACGAACTGGCGGCCGGCTGACGCTTTATACGGGCCGGAGTGTCCGGCTGGACGGACAAGTTCTATCGCAATCGGGAATGAGGATTTGGCGCTGGGATGTGTGCCGTTTTCTTGCTTTTCTTAGTGAGCCTGTTATTAAAAGCTATCAAATTTTGAGCAATGCAATGGATTAGAACACTGATGTTTGCGCTGTTGTAAAGGGATGTGCCACCGTCGAACGCTATTTTTGAACTAAGTACTTGTGATGTGTGGGTGCAAGGTGGAAAGATCTCTCGATATGTAAGGCATTTTACTGTTGCTGGCCGTTTGTTTCCCATGCATCTTGTCTTTAAGGTTTTAGTTCAAAGTCGAGTAGCCAGCAAGACATCGTGTTATAGTATACAACTGTTGGCTAACTTTGGTTTGTCGGCGTTCTAAGCTCTCTGGCAAGAGATAGCCGACATTGAACATTCTAGGATACCGGCCAAACGGCGATATCAAGCAGCCATTGTGATACGTTATTCGAATTTTTGGCGCTTTAAGTCAATGTTCAGGCTTTGCAAGCTGTCAAAATTTTGTCACGAGCAGCAATTTGATTTTCGTGGGTCATTAAGACATATGGGCCCAACTGTGTTTCAAGTATGCCTTACCATAGAACCGTTCATCTGGTTTTTGGATGCTGAATGCTTTAGATTTGTGTTATTCATTTTTTTGACAAAAATTGCACCATTTTAGGACATTTCCCGTTTACAGGAGTTGCAAGGTTCTCAACATTACCTTAAGCTTAGCCCTGTTCATTCGTTACCATCAGTGCTGTCTTAAAACATGTCATATGTATATAAGTATATATATATATATATATATATATATATATATATATATATATATAATATAAACATGTAAGTACATACATATATACATGCACATAAAGATAGATACGCACATATATATATATATATATATATATATATATATATATATATATTAACATGTAAGTATATACATATATACATGCATATAAAGATAGATACACACATATATGTGTATATATATATATATATATATATATATATTATAGTTGTATAAGAAGATAGGAATATTGTTCATGCATTAATTATCGAACGTTACAGTAATGTTACGGTATGATATGATAAATGGCATTCGTTAGCTTTCTCTCAAATGATTTCACTTGACCCTGCTAGAAATTGCCGCTAGCGCGATATCCGACTTCTAGTAACGCTTGAAGCAATATTGATCTAGACCGTGAATCCCAACACAACCAACAACCCAGTTAGCGTGACAGTGGCTCTTCAACACGTGCTCGGGTGGGGGTTAACTTGACCCTCCCGAAGGTTTTTTCCCAAATGGTTTCCGAACGGCGCGGCGTAGCGGCGCGAAATGTTTCATAGCTGTAGGCAATTGAATAGCGGATCGTCTGGTTTCAAAGATTGAAATATATGTTGTAAGGTCACTGACCTATGGCAGGCCAAATTTGGGCTATGGTTTCAGCGAAGGCAATTTCTCGGGAATCGTTCAATCTGACCCAACAACGGAGTTGTAGACGAATCTAAACTATTCTGAGTTACATTTTTAGGCAACGCAGCAGCTGAATAAACAAATTACATTGACTTAGGGTCAGTTATGAAGGTCAGGCAAAGGTGAAAACCAACCTGCTTTATTACTCTTGGGCTTGCTGTACTGGGTAGATTTTGGCGCTCATTTCGGATATATTGATGACAGGAACCACATTATATAATTTCCATGGACTTATTAAAGGTCAGAATAGGTCACTGTCCTAAAATGACACAGGTCAACATTTCGTTTTTGAGAACATGCTGCCTAGCGTAATCTTTGTTGCTTATTTAAATGCAAATCTCAAAGCAGCGTTGTATGATCCCGGTCACCATGACATTTTAAAGGTCAAACAAGGTCACTGACTTTAAATGAGTCTGTGAACGTTCGTTTAGAACAGTTATCTAGATTCTATGGGCTCTTTGGAGACCAACCTGGATTTTACCTTGTTTAACCTTATTTGACAAGAGTATCATGACCTAGGAGCCTCAAACGTTGACCTAAGTGAGTTTAAATGCAGGTTAACACACCCTGTGAATGTGGTGTGTCGAGCTCTCTTAGTTCCTGAGATCTCAGGGATTCAAACTGATCCCCCACCCGAGCGAAGGGTGTCCAACCGACAACCAGGTGCCTGTTCAGCGTATGACGGGCATTTACCAGTGTCGTGGTAGGCGTGGCTCTGATGGGCAAGCGTGGCTTGTAACACGTTGCCATTTTGTGTAAAAGTGCATGTGTAACTTGGAAACTACGTTCAACACACAAGAACCTTACATCGCGAGTGTCCATTCGTCCGTTGAACATTTTCAAGCTTACGGTGACGAAAATTTTACTTTTACCTTCCGTCTTGAAAATATATACGAAATATATCGAATGTGTCGAACATTATACACGACATGCTTTCCACCATACTTTTTGCGGTACTAAGACAGTTTTTGCGCGTGCTAAAACTGTGTGGGATCTCAAAACAGCACTAGACTTTTGCGGAGGGATTGAGGAGTTAGAATTACGGGTAGCCAGCGTACGGGACCGCGTGGAAAATTTGACTTTCACGATTGCGTAATTTTACGTTGTAACCTCAGTGTTGAAAGTGTATACGGAATGTATGGGCGTGTTGAACAGTGCATATGATGTACTTTCGACTGTACCTTTTTACGATACCAAGACCTTTTTGCATGCACAAAAACTGTGTGGGATCACGAAATATCACCAGGCTTCAGCGGATGGATGGAGACGAGACCTTAGTGGCACGTATGTCACTTGGGTGCGACTATCTTCCTTGTCTTGTGTGTTGAAACCAACACAACATTTTGGGCGGTCACTTGTCTGGACCATCAAATCTGAATTAGTCGTGGGAATACCCGCTTGATTTTGGCGCCGGGCACGGCAGCGAGACACGCTGAGGACATGCTTCCAGCGGCCGGCCGTAGCGCAGCCACCGCCGCAGGGATGCTGCGCCGGCCAGACCTGACGGCATTGGAAGGGCCTGCTGCTCGGTGATCTCCGCCATGATCAGTCTAGCCATGGTTAAGCACGCACGCTGATCATCGCCGAGTGTCCGTTTGGCTGTAAAAGCTGGGTGGTGGGTAGTTTGCGCTGAGTACGGGTTATTGACCGCGGTGCCGGACTGCCGTGGATTCCAGCTGCGTGCTGTGTCGGCGGCTTGGTTGTCAGTGATCGGCAGCGTGCCCAGGTTGTGCTGCCGTCGTGCTGGAGGGATGTCCAGTGATTGTGTTCGGCTTGGGTGTCCACATTACCAGCACTTATAGTGGTCATGACGCTCCGGGAAGATGGCACCTTATAGATCTGACATGGGTTCCTGGATCGGTGGCGTAAGCTACCCTACAGCTTCACATGCGTATTACCGGCGTGCTTCGCGTCTCGAGGTAGGGGGGTCGAGTGAGAGGCGATGGCGCCAGTGTCGGTTGGCGTCAGTGTCTGCTCCAGTGATTGATGCAGTGGTTTGCGCTTGTGTCTGGTGCATTGGGTGGCACTGGTGTCTGACGCAGAGTTCGGCACTAATATCTGATGCAGTGGTTGGCACTGGTGTCTGACGCAGTGGTGGCACTGTTGTTGGTTGCATTGGTTGGCATTGTTGTCCGTCGTAGTGATTGGCACTGGTGCCTCATACAGTGGTTGGCACTGGTGCCTCATGCAGCGGTTGGCACTGGTGTCTCATACAGTGGTTGGCACTGGTGTCTCATACAGTGGTTGGCACTGGTGCCTCGTACAGTGGTTGACGCCGGTTCTGACGCACGGCTCAATGTTGGGGTCCCTTGCAGCAGTTCCGGCCGGCGGTGTCTGGTGCACCGTTTGACAGCATTGTCTGCCGCAGCCTCGCCGCTGGTGACCGGCGACCTGGCAGAGTTCTGCGCCACCTGCCCAGTGGTGCACCGCGGCGCGGCCGGCCAGACTCAGGTGACCGCCAGCGTGCCGTTCTCCATCGGCTGCGGCGCCGACGCCGTCTGCCAGTCGGACCTGCGTGTCACGGCCGCCGTCACCGGCCTCGACGGCGACCGCTTCATCATCGGCGCCTCGCCCACCATCGATCTGGAGGTCAACGTCACCAACGTCGGCGAGCCGGCCTCGCTGCCGCGTGTGCAGGTGGGCAGCTGACGCGACCGTGGCCGCACCCGGCGGGCCCCGACACCGCCTGCTGAGGAGGGCGCGTGGGGGCGACCAGCGTGGGATGAGAAAGAGAGAAGGGTCACCGGCGTCACGGGCGAGGTAGAGAACTGTCATACATTCGGTTGGCGTTGGGCTGTCCCGGGCTCAGGAGATGACGGAGAGAGCTGGTTGGCCTTGCGCCCCGGCGCAATTGCAGGATCGCCAGGTGTATGGGCGTCATTTTGAAACTGGCGATGAGTACAACACTCACGGTGAGGCAAAACTGCGGCAAAACCCGTCCGTCGTTTTGCAGCCACGGAGCGCAATGGATGACGTTGGGCAACTGACCAGTGGTCGGGGGCAGACCGCCGCTCGGTGCTGGTGGGTGTGGGAGGGGGGGGGGGCGACTTAACGTCTGGTCCATCGGCGGCTGACAATGGCGGATGGGCCTGTGACGCAATGACGAGCTGTGGGGCGTGCGCACCGGGATTAGCCGCCGGACGCGGCGCCCCGGCCGCCGACTCGTCCCGACCGTGGCACGAACGCCTGGAATGTGGTCAGCGCCTGCAGAATGCCGACGTGACTTGCGGAACAGCGGCCTTCGGTGCGGTAATCAGCTGATCCGATTGCCGGTCGCTGCCTGGAGCAGCGGTCCAGTAGCTGTGAAACAAGTCAGGTGAAAATTTTCGTCTCAGGGTGGATAGTTGTGCACAGTATTCGGCTATATAGAACACATTTGTACTCGGTTGGAAATTGAGCTGCTTAAAGCTGGAGGGCCAGGGAGCTGCTTAAAGTCAGGAGGCACTTACGCCAGGTTGTAGGCACGTGTTTGTCTTTTTGTGTAGCTTGTTTCTGGTAAAAGAACACAACTGTCATACTTTTCGTTGACGAAATGTAATTCAAGCCGGTATTTAATTGGATGAGACGCGTTCAGTTCACACAACTAGAGCGTTATCAAGGTTGTCCTTTTGAAATAACAATTTGCGCGAAATCATATTTGTACTGACTTGTCTTTATTTTGTCAGTCGGCGGTCGAAACAACGGCGGCCTGCACAGCAAGCTTTACGGTTAAATTTATTTCATGGCGTATAGCTGAACAGTCCATTTTTATCAGTGCCCCAATCACAACATTGCCATTCGATGGATCTGTTGGAGGCCAGACGTCAAGACTTTGCAGCAGCGCGGTTAGTCTGATCGGTTCGGCATTTCAAAAATCCATGCTGGTTGGCAACCGGGTGCGCTAATGACGACGGTCGAAGTCGTCATGATGTGCCGCATGCAGCATTTCTAGGCGTGCGCGCTCACCGCAGATGGTTTTGTGACAGCCTTCACAGGGAAGCTCTCGAACCTCACCATATGTTTCAGTCAGAGCCGTTTGTCTGCCGAAACCTTGTTCATAAAGTATTGAGCGGCGTCTGTCTTCCAGCACCTCTGTTTGGACCGTTGAGCACTCGGCCGTGTGCATAAAACACTCAGAGAATATATTGTCTGCCAGAATAGATCTCGCGTCTTCCATGTGGAAGGCTATGGTTTTCCTGATTGGTGTATTTCGCCAAGTCACTGACGGGCTGTGCAACGCATGCGAACTTTTTCGATAAACGTGAGGACGTTGCGATGGATAAATTTGTACAACTCTTTGCTCTATTCTACACGTATATATATATATATATATATATATATATATATATATATATGTGTGTGTGTGTGTGTGTGTGTGTGTGTGTACATATATGGATAAAGAGAGAGAGAGAGAGAGAGAGAGAGAGAGGAGAGGGAGAGGAGAGAGAGAGAGAGAGAGAGAGGGGCTAATCAGGTTGAGTCGTTTCGAGCTCGCAGAGCGGTCGGGTCATTGGCGCCGTTTCGAGCTCGCAGGGTGGTCGTGTCGTTGGTGCCGCTCACAGCCACCCATCCCCAAAGTGATTTCGTAACGGCACATCTCTTTCGTATTGCATTGACGCTGATCTGAAAGTGAGCACTTCTAAGGCGACAAGGCGGGTACGTAAGAGCAGATTACCGTAATTAAATGATCCCAGTTGTGCTAATCTTCAGATCACTTATGAACTTGTACATTTTTTGTGGGAGTGAGTGTTGCACATCGATAAGTAAAAAACTGAACTGTGTTTGGATGTTTGAGATTTGCTAGATACGAATTGAAGTACGTTTCTCGTTGCATAATCCGCTCAATTTTGGGTGAAGCAAGTGTCTCTCCCTTGACAAAACGTAGTGATCTGTTGCCATATGACATGTCTTTCGGGCCATCTGCACAGCCATTGCGCTCGACATCTTACGAAACCGCGCTGGAAATATGGCATTGCAAAAGCTTACCCTCAGCTTTGCAGCCCATTACGCATGCTATTGAAAAGCACGTGAAGCCGACATCGTCCTGGCGTAGATCTGTCAGCGCACCCATCCTGGCGAGTGAAGAGGACCGTGGGCAAATGTTGCGCTGACCTAGGTGCGGCGTGGCGGGCTGCCTCCCAGCGCCGCCCGAGACAGGTGGCGGATGACAGATGACCCTGACGGTGACGCTGTCGGCGCGCCATGCTGCTGCTGTTAGCAGCACCGCCGCCCGTCAGTCAGGTGTATCGATGAGCGCTGCCACTGACGTCGCCTCTCCCCAGGTGCGGCTGCCGCAGCCGGTGCGGCTGGTGCGCGTGCCGCAGCTCTGCTCGGAGCGCGAGACGGCCGACCACGTGCTGCTGACGTGCCACGTGCGGCCGCACCCGTTCCCGGCGGGCGCCGAGGGCCGGCTGCGGCTGACGCTGGCCGTGGACCAGCTGGCGCCGGGCACCGAGCGGCTGACAGTGGCGCTGAACGTCAGCTCCGCCGGCGCCGAGGTGGCGCCCGCCGACAACACGGCCGACGTCACGCTGCGGCTGAGCACCGAGGCTGACATCGCCGTCACCGGGTGAGCGGCAGGACGCTGGGCGGGACCGCCGCCGCACGCCGGGCGTGGTGGTGGACCTGTCGGATGAGTGGCAGGACGCTGGGCGGGACCGCCGCCGCACGCCGGGCGTGGTGGTGGACCTGTCGGATGAGCGGCAGGACGCTGGGCGGGACCGCCGCCGCACGCCGGGCGTGGTGCCGCGCCAGGCGGCGGCGCAGTGCGGACGTGGGCAGGGGCTGGCGGGGTTGTCGGCTCGAGGGAAGGGATCAATGAGTTGGTGGAGAGGGTCATTGGATCGGTGGGGTCAGGAGGCAGTGTATTTGCGGGGACGACTGAAGGCAACGGGCCACGCGAGGCCAGGGAGCCGGGGCACGCGGGATCCTGGGTCCACCAAGACAGCAAAGTCCTGGTGTCTGGTCATATTCAAATGCACACTGCTGGATGGAGCGTGACCAGTGGGCCAGAGAATACACGATATCTGGCAGGGAAATCGCCGATTCGACGGCGGTGGTAGGCGGCCTTCCATTCGACCCTGCAACCTTACTGACAGCGCCCCGTGCCCGCAGCCAAGCGCTGGAGCAAGGCGAGCTCTACTACGACAAGCAGGAGGACCGCGACGAGTCGGAGCGCAATGACCCCAACTACGTCATCATCAGCCACCGGTACCAGGTGCTGCGCTACCTGCCGTCGCCGGTGGACGCCGTCAACGTCAGCTTCCTGGTGCCGGTGAACGTGACGGACACGGACGGCAGGTCGGTCCGATTCCTGGACCTGTACCGGCCCAAGGCGGCCATGGACGGCCGCGCCATCGCCTGCAGCATCCAGACCGGCTACTACCTGGCGTCGGTACGAGGTGCCCCTGACGCTACGATGAGGGGGGGTGCCCGCGCCGCGTGTTGCCGAGGGATTGCCGGTGTGACTGGCTCAGGCGCAGGGAGCTGACAGAACACACCGGTCACCACCTGGTGGTGGCAGGGACTGACTTCGTGACTGGGGGCCGGTGTGACTGGCTCAGGCGCAGGGAGCTGACAGAACACACCGGTCACCACCTGGTGGTGGCAGGGACTGACTGTGGCGGGGAGGCGGAGTGATGGGAGCCGCTGAGCCCGCTTCCGACATGAGGAGAGGGTTCTGGATAGCATGGCTGGTGTCGGGCGACTCAGCAGGAGTAATTGGGTACGGCGGAGCCCATCGGCCGACGCGCGGACCAATGCGCCACGCCTCAGCTGCTACTTGTTTTCGAGATTGTATTGCTCCAGACGACTCGAATCCACTCCGGGGAAGTGCTGTTAACTGAAGTGCCAGCGAGTGTCCAGTGTGGTACCTCGCTCGTTGTCATCTACTGACGTCTCTTTGGCACCGGCAGGACGGCGACAGCTATGTGGAGGCGCCGCGCACCTGGCGGCGACGCTACGAACTATCGCCGGAGCAGCGGCGCCAGCTGGCGGCGGTCGAGAGGCCGGCCAGCAGCGAAAACGCCACCACGGTGCTCAACTGCACACAGACGGCGGTCGCCTGCGTGCTGCTCCAGTGTCCGACGGTGGCCTTTCCGCGCAGGGAGAGCAGCCTTGTGGTCACGCTCTCCATGCGCGTCAAACTGCACGAACTCGGTGAGCGGCCGACGTGCAGCGACAGTGGCGGCGGGCGGGGTACGCTCGGGTGGCGTGTCAGGGTACAGGGAGCGACGGGACGGCCACGCGGCCTCGCTAGTGTGCGAATGGGCGGTACGAAATGCCGGCTGCGTCTCCGACGAACACGTGACCTATCGCTGCACAGTGAAAGGTCATGGCTCCTGGCTGAATTCCATCTGGCTGGGTCAGCGTATCCACGTGAGATACCTGGTGCTCGCGCTCTGCGTTGGGACCCCCGCGATGTGTCGTCCCCGGAGCAATGCGGTCTGACACGCTCGTTGACCTGTTGTGACCGCCGGCAGAGCCGCACGTGGGCGCGCGGGATAGCCTGGTAATCTCGACGGTGGGTCTGGCGGACGTGGGCGCCGTGCCGTACCAGCTGCAGCCGGCCGATGGCCGGCCCGACGTGCACCAGGTGCACACGGTGCTGCTGCCCTCCTCGCTGCAGCCGTTCCCCGTCTGGGTGATCGTGGTGGCCGTGCTCGGGGCGCTGATGCTGCTCGCCGCCATCACCTATGGCCTCTATAAGGTGAGCGGGGCGTGCGGCGCGCTGCTGGCGGCGGCGCTCGGTCACCAGATGCCAGCCGCCGGCGGGGCTTGTGGTCAGGTGTGATCCGTCGGGCTTGCTGATGTGGTCTGTGGTCTCACCTGGAATGTACTGTAGCCCCCCGATTATCTATCGTGTGGACAGACCGGCCGACGCCGTGTTACACCAGTCAGAACAATACTGCGATTCGCTTACCTGCGCTGCATCCTGCATCAGGCTGCAAGCCGTGGATTGCCACGTCCCCGCCGTGGACGTGGCAGAACGGCACGTCCCACCCCCATCTAGCAGTAACTTACCACTCACTCGCTGCCGGTGAGAAGCCTCGAGGACCACCGTCACGGCGCCGTGACCGTTGGTCAGAAAGGCTCTTCCCGCTCATGTCTGCGTCATGTTCGTGCCTGAGGAATCCGTGGTGTGACGTCGCGGCCCACCGCTTTCAGCTCGGCTTCTTCAAGCGACGGCGGCCCGAAGGCGCCGAGTGACGTCACCCGCCCGAACCGTAGCCAATCGCGCCCTCCGATCTCCGCGGACGACGTCCGGATGACGTCAGCCCCGCGACAAAGCCCGCCGTGCGAGCGGCACCGGGACGGCGGTTCGTCCCGCTCTAGTCACGGGCGAGCGGCCGAGCCGGCCGCCGGCCCGCGCGCCGCCGTCCAGCGCGGAAGCCGACAGGACAGTGCTGCCAGCGCGCGGCGGCGCGTGCCTCCCGTGAGCAGTAACCCGCCGACACGGCGGGTGGTGGCCGCCCGACCGAGCGGCACCCGGCAGCGCGGACAGAGAGCAGCCGCGCCGCTCCCTCGGTGGCGCCGCCTCCGCCGGCCCCGCCCGACGCGCCACCCATTCCACGGCTCAACGGTGACCCAGCGAGGGCCACAGCGGTGCTCCTCGCCGTGCCAGGCACGCCCGAGCACCGGAGCACCTGTATGATGATGTATGTGATAAACGCTGGTGAGTGAGGGAGCAGTGTCGATCCAACGAGTGTTCTGTGCGATGTGCGTGGGCGCGGTCCCGGACGTGTTGATACCGTGGAGAGACAGAGATGCTTATAACCAGTTGCGCGATATGTGGTAATTTGACGATGTTGATGCAAGCGTCCCAAGAACGGAAGAGAAGCAGCGCAAAAATAGGTATATTTTCATCCCACCCAGCCGGGGGAAATTGCGCTCTTACAATATCAACCGTCAGCTTTATACCTTGCCTTTTGTAAAAAATAAAGCTAACAATGCGCCCGACGACAGAAAAACCAAGGTCATGGCAAAGTTGATTGCGCAACACCAGACCGATCAAAAAAAAAAAATGAAACCAGCACACGATAAACAAAAGTACACCACCACGGTGTGGTCTTCCAAAGTCACAACAATCGCAACATTGTGTGAAGTCGGATACTTAAGACCCCTTCAACACTGCGCAGGCAAGTCAACAAAGCCAGCCTCTGGTTGCGACGCACACATCTTCCTCCCTCACACCTCAGTTGCCGAAAGACAAACGACCGTCACCCGTGCACACAGGCGGTCCCGTGAAGTGTTCCACGGTGTCCCGTGAAGCCTCTCGCGACACCCCGCGTGCTACCGGACGGATCGGCGCCTCACCTGCCCTCGTCCAGACCCACACAGCAGTACAGCGGTTTCCGCTGTCCCCGTCCGAACCCACACAACAGTCTCCACTGCCCTCGTCCGGACCCACACAGGAGCACAACAGCGGCGGTCGCACGGTGGCCGGTCGGGTCGCCCGCGCCGTCGGCGGCGCTACGCTGGCGCCGGCGCCAGGCCGCGGTCCGCCTTCCACGCGGCAATCCACTGGCAGATGCGCTCCACGTTCTCCTCCACCTGGTCAGGGGTGTTGCTGCTCAGCTCATGCACGATGTCAGCCGGGTAGGAGTCGCGCGCCTCGTCCAGCAGCGTCTGGAAGATTTCGCACTGCACGTTGTCTTCCAGTTTCTTGCCCGAGTAGCCGCTGCCGGAGGGTGAGGCTAGGTCAGCGGGTCAGCGACGCCACTTAGTCCAGCAGAGGATGGACATCGAGCGAATCCGTGCGCCGTCCGCGCCTGGCCACAGACACTCCGGACACAAACCCCTTTGCAGTTGGCAACATCTCGGAATGACCCAGTCAGGAACCCATCGGGCAAGATGCAAGAACCAAAATGGCTGGTCCCAAGGTGCGACCAGGTCCGGCAGACCACCAGTCAACCGTTCTGCATGCGCGATGCATCTGTTGGTAGGACGACGGGGCGAGCGAAACGCCTCCCCGCCGCCGCATCACGTACCCTTCGGCCCCGCACATCTCGCAGCGGTCGGTCAGGCACGTCACGCGTCGTGTGATGAGACGGACTACGTGCCGTTAGGTCCGCTACACCGCGTACCGCTCGGTGTCTCGGGCAGCGTGCCCTCTCGCCACCCGCATCAGGTGCTGTCGGGTCACTGCCACCCTGTGACGCATGGCCCGACACACCACGAGCCGTTGGGTCCGCGCGCCACCCCGTACCGTTTAGCCAGCCGGTCGTACAGGAGCTTGTTGTCGGTGCGCAGGACGAACACGATGTCGAACCAGCGCTCCGGGAAGAAGTCGCAGCCGTGGTACTCGACAATGGCGCCGCCACCGGCCACGCGCGGCTCTAGCTCGTCCAGCACCTGGCCGACGCGGGGCGGCGCGCGTCACTGCACGTGCCGACCGACAGCGCGGGGACCGGCTGACTGGCCTGACTCGCGACAGGTGCCGGCGCAGGACAGCACACGGCGATCGCAGAGGCCGGAGGTCACGACCGACAGACTGGCGCGAGGGTCCATGGACGGCGGTCAATCCGTCATCCCAGCAGGCATCGAGCCAGAACAGTCGGTGACGAACACCGCATGCAGCCCGGTCCCGCAGCACGGTCGGTGGCGTTCACCGCTGATCGACTGACGGTGTGCTGCTGCAACGCTCCCTCCAGCAACACATGGGGGGGGGGGGGGGGGCGTACCTTGTCTTCGTTGAGGATGCGGCACCCGTACCGCTCGTCGAACTCGTCCAGACAGTCGTTCTGCTCAGCGATGTCGCCGACGTTGAGCCAGTTAAGCCCTGAGGCGTCCGCCAGCTGCTGGCACGTGGTCGACTTGCCCACGCCCGGCGTTCCTGAGGTTGTGAAGCCCGGCGTCCGGTCAGAGGGCACGGCGGGGCGCAGGTACACACACGGAGGGGCGGCCGATGACGACACGTCTGACAAACAGGAGGGTGGGTGGGTGGCGAACCCTGCGCGTATTTGTCCTGTTATGTTTGAAAATGTTATGATTTGATGTCTATAAACGCGCTTGGTTTATGGTGAGCCATATGCCGAAGAGTCCTGATATCCCACTCCGGGCATGGCTAGCACGTTATTCCGCTTTAAACTACGCAAAACGATTTCACTTTAAAGTTGAGAGCAAGGTCTATTTTAGGGGCATCTTTTGGCCACCCTTGGTTTCAACTTATTCAATTCTCACAACCAATGGTGATAACAAACATAGTAGCCATTCAATTACACAAATTGAGCATAATGATTACAACCTGCCGCAAAATGCCCTGAAAAAGAGTCCAAGTGTCTTATCAGTACATGGTTTCATATTCACTCTGAAAGGAAACACCTATGAACCATGCTACATCCCTTAAGCTCAGCCTGGCCTCGATTACACCGATGCTTATCAGCCGATGCACCAACACCGATGCTTACCAGCAGCCAGGGCTGCATGCTTGAAAAACATACCGACGACCTCTCACCTATGATACTCCCTTCTCCCCAAGACAGCACCCATCTTCGCCATTGAATGTGACACAATGAGGCTTAAAAACCGCGACTTCTTGACTCTAAGACATAACGCCAGGCTGTTGACCAAGCCCCACTCACAAACCAAATCACGAAAGTGTGCACTTATAAATCGCCACGTTTCACCTTGAGCTTCGTGCATGACTGACTTTAATTAACATGGCACTTCATGACCAACCTTAAAATTAAAGCCAAAGCAAATATGATGCACCTCCCAGTAGTCAACTGACACAGCACAATGCACACTGAGTACATTTGCAATTTATTCTCATAACACTAGTTCCTGAACACTGACCTGTGACGAGGATGTTTGGCAGACTGCGGCCGGCCATCTCGGGACCTGTGGATGAGCCCCAAGATGAGCCTCGAGCCATTCCAGCAATAGACCAGCATTTCTGACAGGAGAGTACCCAGAGCTTTCAGACATTTACACCATACTGTAACTTATTCAACCCACATAGGGGCAAGATGCAGACAGACAATTTGTACTTCATTGCTATGTAGAATTTCTTTGCACACATGATCAGGGCCACAGTAAGCTTTCCTATGCAACCAGCCATGTGAGCACTTAGAAAAAGACTTACACCTGTCAGCCAGTTCATATAACCAGTTTCTGGAATCCAGCAGTGATGCTATATGGTCTTGTATTGAAGATACTCATCTGTCTTCCCATCACTTCATCCAATCTCAAACTCACATTCATTTTAAATCATGATTCAGCTTTATTTTCTCTGTACAGAACAAGGGTTGGAATCATTCATACCAATCTATTTGAAGAAATGAGAGACTGATAGCATGGCCATAGCATAATAACATACCCCACTTCACAAAAGCTCATTCTGCATAAATCACCTTTTTACAGGAGAAAACATCATCCATAACTAGAAAACAGGACCATAGCTACTTTTATCACCTTATCTTCTAAACAAAGAAGTCTGATCATGTGACAGAAGTGAAGGAGGGCGGATTTACAACTTAACAACACTAGTGATGCTGCAGTACCATGTCAGGCTTAACAACACTAGTGACGCTGCAGTACCATGTCAGGGGAATTGGTACTACAACCTTTATAATCATCAGTATTATTTTATGACAGTGAGGGTACAGCGATGCATGGTTAACATGAGCTCGGGTGGGAGGTCAAATTGACCCTCCTGAAAGTTTTTTTCCAGAATGATTTCCCAATGAAAGAAATAGATGTACGAAAGAAATTTAGATGTACCTTGTAAGGTTGCTGATCTATGGCAAGTCAAAGTCAAGTCATGGTTTCAGCTAAAGCAATTACTAGGGAATCATTCAATTTGATACAACAACAGAGTATTAGGCTAAACCATACATATCTGAGTGCTTTCTTAGGCAACACAAATACTGAGCGAGCATATTGAGCGAGCAAATTACGCTGACCTTGGCATGGTATGAAGATCAGCCCAGGGTCAAAACCAACCTCCTTTATTACTCTAGGGCTGGCTGTATGGGATAGTTTCTGGTGCTCTTTTCGAATTTATCAATAGTAGGAACCACATTATACATCTTCCATGGACTTCTTAGAGATCAAAACAGGTTATTAACCTGAAATGACCCAGGTCCACATTTTGTTTTTAGAAACATATTGCCTAGCATAACCTTTTTTGCTTATTCAAATACAAAACTCAGCAGTATTATATGATTTTGGTCACCATAACCTTCAAAAGGTCAAACAAGGTCACTGACCTTGAATGAGCTTGTGACCTTCTGCTTAGAAATGGTTATCTAGGTTCCAGGGACACTATGGAGACCAACCTGGAATTTCACCTTATTTTACCTTTTTTGACCTGAAGATCATAACCTAAGAACATCAAACTTTGACTCAAGTGAGTTCACATGCAGGTCAAGATCCCTGTGAACTTGGTGTCTCTATCTCCCTTAGTTTCCAAGATCTCAGGGGGTCAAATTGACCCGTAACTGAGCAAAGGGTATCAAGCCAGCCACCTGGGTGCATGTTAAGGTTTCATCTGCAAATCATTTGTGACATCACTGGGAATTCAATCAAATATGCTACACCAGTGCCCAAACTGCTGGTAACCCATGTGATACGTGAATGTGAATGCCCATGTAAGAAGGGCAGCTATCATTTGGGTCAGGGTGTTGACCATTGATTGGGCAACCTAGCAGCCAAATGATAAATGTATGCATGGGCAGCAGCATCATTTTACATACTTTCAGGGGTCTGCGGCTACGTGCCACAATGTTGATTTGAGCCCTCACTACTTCTCGGTCAGGGTGTACTTTCCTACCTAACGTTAGAAAAAATCATTGTACACCATTCGTCGTGTTTAAGGCAGGACATATCGTAAATAATCTCAAAACAGGTAGAATCATGCTCCTACCTTCGAATTTCAATAACTTCGATGGCGGGGCCCCGAGCGCCGCGCGCACCGCGCCGCCTGGACTCCCTAGCGCCGTTTCTGCGTTGCCGTTGCGTAAATACAATATTTCTGCTTACCAAGAACTCTACAAAATGTACGGGACCAAAGTAAACCATTCGTCGTGTTTAAGGCAGGACATATCGGAAATGATCACAAAACAGGTAGATTCATCTTACCTTCAATTTTTTATAATTACGATGGCGAACTCCCGAGCGCCGCACACACAGCACCCGCGACACCGGCGCCATTACTGCGCGGGTCACAACATTACTGTGCATCAAGCAGCATCAAGAACCATAAAAATGTACCGGGCCAAGGTAACAAGAATCCATGAAATTTGATCCTCGACGCCAACGGGACCATGGGTTGCAGGGGGATTGGGTGGGGAATGTAAAGCAAAATGAGAACATGACAGCTAAATAAAAGCTCACTATATGGCACCTATATATGGCATGGAACATGGACGCCAATGGGATGCTGGGTTGAAGGGGATATAGGGTGGGGAGGTTAGGTTAGGTTAGGTTAGGTTAGGTTAGGTTAGCTTAGCTTAGCTAAGCCTAGGTTCTGGTCTATTAGCTTATATCTAAGCTCATAAGGTCTATGAGCTTATATCTAAGCTCAGGTTAGGTTAGGTTAGGTTAGGTCAAGTTAGGTTAGGTTAGGTTAGGTTAGGTTAGGTTAGGTTAGGTTAGTTTAGGTTAGGTTAGGTTAGGATAGGATAGGTTAGGTTAGGATAGGTTAGGTTAGGTTAGGTCAGGTCAGGTCAGGTCAGGTCAAGTCAGGTCAGGTCAGGCTAGCTTAGCTTAGCTTAGCTATGGGATGCTGGGTTGAAGGGGATATAGGGTGGGGAGGTTAGGTTAGGTTAGGTTAGGTTAGGTTAGGTTAGGTTAGGTTAGGTTAGGTTAGGTTAGGTTAGGTTAGGTTAGGTTAGGTTAGGTTAGGTTAGGTTAGTTTAGTTTAGGCTAGGCTAGGTTAGGGTAGGGTAGGTTAGGTTAGGTTAGGTTAGGTTAGGTTAGGTTAGGTTAGGTTAGGTTAGGTTTGGTTAGGTTGGGATAGTTTAGGATATGTTCTGGACTATTCTGACCTGTGTTTCATAAATGTACCTAAACTCGATAAGAAACGATTTTGGTTGCTTTATTATTGCTACCTTGGTCCCATACATGTTTTATGGTTCTTGATAAGCAGAAATATTGTGCTTTCGCAACAACGCAGAAACGGCGCTTGGGAGTCGAGGCGGTGCGGTGCAGTGCCTGCGGCGCTCGGGAACTCGCTATCGTATTTATTAAAATTCGAGGGTAGGAGCATGATTCTATCTGTTTTGCAATTATTTACGATATGTTCCGCCTTAAACACGACGAATGGTTTACCTTGGTCCCGTACATTTTGTACAGGTCTTGGTAAGCAGAAATATTGTATTTATGCAACGGCAACGCATAAATGGCGCTGGGGAGTCCAGGCGGTGCGGTGCGCGCGGCGCTCGGGAGCCCGCCATCGATGTTATTGAAATTCTAAGGTAGGAGCATGATTCTACCTGTTTTGAGATTATTTACGATTTGTGCCGCCTTAAACACGATGAATGGTGTGCAATGATTTTTTCTAACATTAGGTAGGAAAGTACACCTACACCCTACTTCTCTAATCCTCCTCAATGTATATGAGTAGAGAATGCCAACCCTCAACATACAGAACAACTATCTTAACTATTAGTATACCAGGTAATAGGTACCCAAACACCTCACTAATATGATCATGCCACTTTCTTACCAAATAGTGCCTTGTAAGTGCCTTATGATTTTGTTATGCTAACTCCTTTGTATCTTTCAAATGTCCACAAATCTCTGCAATGTTTGAGATGTTTTTTGAAATGGTAGCACCTGGATTATGGTAGCAAATAATTTATTGTAAAATATGGTAGCTTTTAAAAGTACAGGGTGGCCCAGGCAAAAATTAGCATGTGTTTTTGCAACAGTGGCCAGTGCATTTGTCACATAATTTTGGATGTGGTGATCATTAAACATGATAAGCAACAGAGGTAGTCATCACCCATCACTTACTAAGATTACTGTAACATTTTTTCCTGTGAATTGGATGTCATTTTAATCTTGATACAAAAAGGCAATGGACATTAATTTGAAATAAGAGGCCACCCCTCCACAGGGAAGTATAAAGTCTATAAAATATTTATGCTTTCCCTCCTCAGGAAAAGAATGACTTCCCCAAATATTTACATCCTGATCATTCTAGCATCATGGAGACAAATTTAAGTGGCCAATTTCTGGGGAGAGATTAGGTATTGGTGAACAAATGTCAACAATTTTGACTTGTTCCTCAAACCAAGTTTAGAAAGTGGTATCACTTAGCAATGAATTCTCAAGATGCCCTAGCATGAAAATCTTTCAGGGCATTTTTGTCACAAATTATTTGAAACATAATTAATAAAAACATTGTCTCTCTTAACTCTAGAATTGGTGGTGGCAATACACCAAATTCTGAGCACTTGGATTCAACAGAGAGATCAAATAGGTTGCTGTGATGCCACACCTGCATCAGACATGTTTGGCAGATTGCACTTTTTGCAGTCTTGAGGGGTATTTCACAGCATTTTTACCAGACATTGTTTGTAAAGTAATGAAGTAAGGCATTTGCTCTTTCACCTCATGCTTAGAACAGCACATATTTTTGCAGCCTGGTAAGGTAAATGAGCCCAAGACGTGAACTAACACCTATAAAGCATCAACGGAGACAACAACAATGATGTTTGTTTTCTGTTATTAATTAAAGGTCAGATCAAAAGTCAACATTGTTCACAGATGTGAGGAATTACCTATAAGCGGCCCACGCTGCTCGGACCCGCCGTTGCACAACACTCGGCAATGCACTCTCACCACGCCAATGGCTCACCACGTGCACACATTTGGACTACCGGGGCCAAGGTTGAGCATTTAAACTTGAGTGAGGCGTCTGTGCTTAAAGGTTTTAGACTAACTAAAAACAGAGTAATCTACCGGAATACAACTGAACAAAATCGTATTGTCCTAAAAAGTCAGTTGCAAAAGTGTTTCGAAATGTTTGTTATCAGCGGCAGATACATGATCAATAGTGCTGTTGGTAACGAACGAAGTTTTACCATGTCTGATTACCCTCGTGCACCTATTGGGTACCGTTCTGCATAACCCGCAGACAAATGAGCTGACACGTTTTGGGCTGAGTCTACTTATTTTCCGAGCAAAAATTACTTTGAAGCAGGCACGGAGGTCAAATCAAACGAGCCCAGTTGTATTTTTGAAAACCAGGACTTCAAATTGGAATTGGTCCGCCCCAAGCGACCTCCCGCCATTTCGAGGCGGCGGCGTAGGTCCCCCATGGCCATTTCTGCAGGTATTGGCAACATTTGAAGTATTGCCAATATTGTATGCTGTATTAGGTTATCATTTTGATTTTTTTGACGTTCAGAAAAGCCATACATGTTTGCTACTACGCACACTTTGTGATTTGTTTACCCTATACTGTCTTTTGGTCAATGATATTCCTAGCAGCACTTTTTATCAGCGGCACTTTTTTCTATTTAGGCGCAGAGTGCTGCGCCATATATTGATTTACCCTTTTTTGTAAACAGCCGAATAAGCACCTGGGAGAAAGCCACGCGGGAACAGTGGGGAGGGTTGCTTTGGGTTGGGCGCCGATGATAGTTCGCCGAGGGTACTACCATTTTCAGTGATCGATTGAACTCAAAGGTACAGACCTAACGTTATGAAACTCAGGATAACAACGGTGAAGTCAAGGAAATTTCGCTGTATGTGTTACGCAAGATAATTCCATCTTTTTCGAGTTGTTGCTGAGAATGGTACGGTCCGTGCTGGAGAGTCCTGGGTCACAAACGAGGGAGTTTGGCGAATTGCTTTGATTGTGATGATGTGGCAACCATCCGTAGCGCCTAAAGCCACACAATTCTACACTAGGAACATACACATTCCAATATTCAGTCAGTCAAGTCCCAAGCATCTGAATTTTGGTATTCAGCTCTAGGGGAAAGTTAGCACAAATTTGAGGACTTGTGGAGATTTGGTATAGGTATGGGTATACCTGTTATAGCCATACCCATACCCTATTATGCCCATAAGTATACAAGAATGGCACTTAGTCATCCCTGGGACATCATGGATAACTGGTATGTGCTCTCAACTTTAAGGAATGGAATCATGTTAGTGTCATGTGAAAGCAATTAAAACTAAAGCATGTAAGACATATAGTAGATACAAACCTAAGGAATTGTGGATGTGCCCTCATTTGAATGGCTCCACTTGGGCTGTTACATGGATATTTTACAAGCAGCAACATTAAGAACTAATTATTTTTCAAAGAAATTAAGTTGTCGAGCACATCATTATGCACCATGGATGAGGTATAGTGATAGGGGTCAATGTGATCCCTAAAGGTTGTTATCAAATAATGTCCAAATTAAGTGACAGGGCCATGCCAAGCTTTACCTAGCTGTAGGCATGGAATGGCTGATTTGTATAACAGGATTGACCTATGGCAGGTCAAAGTCAGGTTGTATCCACATTGGTGAAAGCAATGTGTATAGAATTGTCCAATCATATGCTACAACAAAGTGTAAATTGAGTAATACAGCTATGTCATGATACAACAATTTGATTTAGGATAAAAACAAATACTAATTTGAAATAATAAAAAATAGTAATAATAAAAAACAGACCTAGAATCAGGTAAACTTGGCACAAGTGTGTTCACATACAGGTTGACCCACCCTGTTAATGTGGCATATGTGATTCTCATAGGTTTTTAGAATTTGATGGCAACTTTTGAAATTGATGTCCTACTGGAGTGAAGGCTGTTTAACTGGCCAAACCAAGTACTTATTAATACACAGATGAAAGAAACACTGACAAATCTGACCACATTAAAATTATTCATGGTCAGGGTACACATTGCTACCTCATGTTAAAAACAAGCATTGTACGTCAGTTGTTGTTTTGAAGGCAGAACATATTGTAATTAATTGTAAAACAGGTCATCTAAGCCCTCACCTTGGAACTTAAATACCTCCAATGGAGAACATCCAAGCGCAAACACGCAGCAACCGCGACCCCGGTGCCATTGCTACATGTGATCGTGATCACAACATTACTGCGTGATCACCTTACTGTGCATCAAGAACCATAAAGTTGTATGAGGCCAAGGTAACAAGAATCTAATGAAACGTGTTTCTGGCATATCCAAGCAGTCTTCTGTATTGTTTGTAGACTGGTCGACGTGGTGGGGAAATATGATGTTTTTGGGGCCAGGTCAGGTTAGGTTAGGCTAGGCTAGGCTAGGCTAGGCTGGACTGGATTAGGCTAGGTTAGGTTAGGTTAGGTTAGGTTAGGCTAGTTTAGGCTATGTTCTGGACTATTCTGGCCTGTCTGTTTCATAAGCGTACCTAGACGCAATAAGAAACATTTTTCATTGCATTATTATTGTTACCTCGGCCCTGTACATTTGTTATGGTTCTTGATAAGCAGAAATGTTGTAATTACGCAAGGATTACACAGAAACGGCGCTGGGTAGTCGAGGTGGTGGGGTGCGTGCAGCGCTCGTGAGCTCGCTATTGTAGTTATTAAGATTCGAAGGTAGGAGCATGAATCTACCTGTTTAATAATTGTTTATGATATGTTCTGCCTTAAAATATGACGAATGATGTGCGATTATTTTTTCTAACATTACGTACCAATGTATACCTACACCATCTATCCTAAACCCAAATTTAAGCTTGAAACTGAGACCCATGCCCATGCCCCAATCTTCAAAAGGTGGCAGACTGCTCAATGAGATATTTGGGACAAGTCCCATCCGGCCTCAAGGGGGATGGCCAACTTCTCTGTTTATGTCATGGGCAGATGATTTGACCACTGGGGGTGGTCTCAAATATTTTCTTGACTAATTGGCATCTTCTGTTTACTAATGCTGATCTGCTGATTCACCAGTGCTACCAATGCTAACCTGCTGATCTGCTAGAGATGGGCCAGGGCCACACTGAATTCACAACCCAAATTTTGTACTTTGTCTTTATGATACCAAGTTAACATGATTACAAACTGCATCAACCATGTCAGTAAAAGTATCATTTCCTGAAGTACCACAAGATTATTGGCCTATCCAGCATCCACTTGTTTCCTGGTGGTCCTCAAAGCAAGTGGTGAATTACTTCTTCAAAGCAAGTGGTGGAAACTGGTGCTCGCTCTTGCAAAATATTTGTTGTTGCCTTCAATTGAATGATGTCTCTTAAGGTGCATGGTTGTTGCACAAACGGCCATGGTCAGTGCGAGCCATGATAGCAAGGATGTGATAAGGACAGCAGTGACACAGTTAAGATTAATGTGGTGCATTCAATCTTTTGGGCTACCCTATCTTTGTGAACAGTGTCTCCTTTGTTTTGTTTTTTGTTTGTTTTTTTGTTTGTTTTTGTTTACATTTACTGCAGTGTGTTTTCTTGTTCTGCTCAGTCTCAGCCCCAGCTCAATATCCTTTTCCAAGGTACTATGAGCCACTCCCAAACAATGTGAGGTACCCAGTTAGGAATTTCTGGGAATTTGAGGTATTTTTAAATCTGCTAGAATAAAAATTATTGTCCAAACTGTGCTCTATCGAGATCCTATCAATATATGACATGTTTTGCAGGCATAAACAAACCCACACTTTTCCTAATCTACACTCATCTTCTGCTCTGTCTGGCTATGCTCTGTCCCTGCCACCCATGCATCCCATTAGTGTTGCTGGGTGCTAGTCAGCAGATGCAAGCATTAAAAATGTACATTTTAAAAAGTACTACAGCCAGAGAACAACAAAAACATATGTTTGTAATGCAGCTATTGTTGGAGCAACATTAATGACTTCATGTGCATGGTACTTTGATAGTCTGAATATAATAATGATAATGCAATAATGGATTTACAATGATAATTAGTTTGTGTGACTCTATGCCAGTGCTGAGCACACCTCATGGTTAGGCCTGTGCCAGTATGGTGTCAGTGCCATTTCTTGGATAATGGCATTGGCCTCCACTGGCATTGCAGCATGTTAGTTGACAATTATTTTGTATCTGGATATGAATACAAATAGAAAAAATAAACAATCAGTCATGGGTGAAAAGTGGCAAATGTGCCCACAGCTGTTTGCTCCTAGAGGCTCATTGTGTGCCTGGATGTAAACTGTTCCCCACCCAAGAGTTCTGTGATAATCTTGTGTTCAACAAGATTTTGCTGACAAAGCTGCACTTTGCAAACCACCACAGACTTGCCTTAACCTTGTCATGGATGAGTAGCACACCATGCTGGTTAGCATTGTTGACTGTTGGGGGTAAATGGCTTGAGGCTGTCTGATGGAATTCAGCAGCAAGATGCAGCATAATAGCAGGCAACATGCTCAACCACTTTTTTGGATGCATTGAGGCACAGTTACAGGTCCGCATACTTGAGTCTGAAATAATGTCTGGTAACAGCCCACTCTGGATCCTGCAACCAAGTCTATTTGCTTGATCACTGCCTGGCAGATGACCACTTCATGTCTTCCCCCACTGCTTCGCCAGGCTGCCAGGGTCGCTGCAATGGACAAAGGGAAGTCGGCTGCGGAGCCGGCCCTGTCGGAGCGCCAGACCTCCGCCAGGAAACGAGAGGCTGCCGAGCCGGACGGACACAAGCCCAACAAACTGCGCAAAACAAAGGTGGGTGGAGAGGCCGCCGAGCCGGACGGACACAAGCCCAACAAACTGCGCAAAACTAAGGTGGGTGGAGAGGCCGCCGAGCCGGACGGACACAAGCCCAACAAACTGGGCAAAACTAAGGCGGGTGGTGGCTGGGGCTGTATCACCTGCGCGACAATGCCCGCCGAGCGTTTACAGACGTTGCTGCTGTGATTAACCGTGGATTCAGCACTCAGATGCTCAGAGGAGGACTACAGCTGAAACCATCCGTGATGTGTGTGGCGTAAGCATGCAGTCTAAAACCCACTTCCTCACACCCGAAGAACTCGATGATGCATCCCAAAATCTGGAGTGAATTGGATGTGATACTCGTACATGTGCCTGTTTGGCATGGTGTGAGCAACCTATACTGTAGTCTTTCTTTGATAGCTAGCTTCTGGTGGCAGGGATGCCTATGTGTCATGCATAAGCTTGCAAAAAGGGTCTATGCTATTTCTTATATCACGCATCCTTTGACAAAAGCTTCGTGTTTCTGTAATAGTTTCGTGCCAGTGCTGGCTTTTCCGCCTCGGCGGGTGTAGCGTTGCCCGCGTGTCCCACTCATGACTGCCCTGACCTGATCTGACGCTGGCCGGCGTGTGCGTGTGCGTAGGAGGCGGACGAGCTGTTTGCCCTGCCCTGACCCGGCCTGACCCTGGCCGGCGTGTGCGTGTGCGCAGGCGGACGAACTGACTGCCCTGCCCTGACCCGGCCTGACCCTGGCCGGCGTGTGCGTGTGCGCAGGCGGACGAACTGACTGCCCTGCCCTGACCCGGCCTGACCCTGGCCGGCGTGTGCGTGTGCGCAGGAGGCGGACGAGCCGCCGGAGACGGACTCGGGCTCGGAGAGCCGGGACAGCGGCGGCCGGGGCGCCGAGGGCCGCGGCCAGGACACGCCCTCGGCCAAGTCGGAGCGCGAGGACGAGCCCGACTCGGAGCAGGATGACCTCGCCGCCGCCACAGGTCAGCCGCCCGGCACGGCCGCCCGTGCCGCGACGCTGGCCGCTCGTTGGTGGGCGGTCGTGGGACGCAGACCGAGAGAGGGCGAGCACACGCCGCTACCGATGCGTAGCTGTCGGAAGCTCTGAGGGTGGATCCCCTTACTTTTCGGATCTCCCGTGAAGTGGGTGTCTGTGTAACGCTGTTGCCGGGTTTCGTACGATGAAGGGTGCGGTTGTTCCCACCCCGGCCGCCGTACCGAAGGTGGTTCACTGCGGTTGTTCCCACCCCGACCGCCGTACCGGAGGTGGTTCCCTGCGGTTGTTCCCACCCCGGCCGCCGTACCGGGAGTGGTTCGCTGCGGTTGTTCCCACCCCGACCGCCGTACCGGAGGTGGTTCGCTGCGGTTGTTCCCACCCCGGCCGCCGTACCGGGAGTGGTTCGCTGCGGTTGTTCCCACCCCGACCGCCGTACCGGAAGTGGTTCACTGCGGTTGTTCCCACCCCGGCCGCCGTACCGGAGGTGGTTCACTGCGGTTGCTCCAACCCCGACTGCCGCACCGGAGGTGGTTCACTGCGGTTGTTCCCACCCCGGCCGCCGTGCCGGAGGTGGATCGCTGTGGGCACGGTCTCCTGATGCCTCTGTCCGCGGCCGGCAGGCTTCCACGGCTTGGAGGGCGCTGCGTTCCAAAGCCGCATGCCTTCTGACAAGCTGACCTCGCTGGAGGCCTCCTGCCTTCCGGACATCGCGTCAGGGGCGCCGCAGACGCAGAAGCTGTACCTCTACCTGCGCAACCGACTGGTGAGGCCGCCGCCGTCGCCGCCGCCGCCTGGCCGCGTCACAGACCTCAGGTCGGCCCGCGCCACCTAGTGGCCGAGACTGGCTTGACGCTCTCGTGGACCTCAGCCCTGCTGGACGTTCATAAGGATGGATTGGAGTGACTGCTGCACTCGATGGATTTATGTGGGCTTTGTAGACTTGTATTGCAAGTTAGAATTCCTCGCAGCGCTTGCCCACCAGCCGCCGGTTCCATTTCTACGGCTAGGGTGTCTTGGCGGAGGTGGTGTAGGGACCGCGTGCCGCGACTGGTCGAGGCGCGGTCGTGGCCCCTCCAGCGGGCCGGGAGATAGCTGAGCGGGTGGTGACCGAGTGGGCCGCTGCCCGAGCAGCTGCAGCTGTGGATCGAGAGCCCGAAGGAGGAGCTGACGCTGGCCTCAGCACTGGCGAGGATCGAGCCGCCCTACAACACCGACACCAACCTCATCCAGCGCACGCACGCCTACCTCCAGCGCCAGGGCTACATCAACTTTGGCATCTTCAAGCGCTTGCTGGTGAGGCTGCCGACGACACGGGCTGGCGGCGTCGCTGCGAATATCGGGCGTGCCGTGCTGGCCGGCTCTTTGTGTTTGCTCGCATGTCCGCGCTCAGTGTGAGGCCCCCGGCTCCCGCGGCGGCGTGTGTTCCGAGGTCTGCACGTTTCCTGCCTGGCAGAGTTTAAGGTGCTGCAACCTGACTTTGCAGCAGCCGAACATCAGCTGTCGCATCAGGGCATGTTTGCCGTTGCCGTGACTACCTTGGCCGTGCCGCTGCTCTGAGCGCATTGTCTGCCCCCTGCCCGCGGCGCAGGCGCTGACCGCGTCCCGTTCGCAGCCGGTGCCGACCGAGAAGAAGGGCCGTGTGCTGGTGGTCGGCGCCGGCATCGCCGGGCTGACCGCCGCCAGGCAGCTGCAGCAGTTCGGCATGGACGTCACCGTGCTGGAGGCCCGGGTAGGCAGGGGTCGGTGTCGTGCGATCACCGCTGCCCCGTCGGTCGGGCGGCGCTGCCGCGTTGCTCACTGCGCGGTACAGCAGAGCACAGTTCGCTGTATCCTGGGGAGCCGGGCGTGTTGGCCGGGTTAGTCAGTGGTCGGCGCATGTCTGGTGGGGCTCACGAAGCCCACCCTCCCCTATCGTCTTCATGCGCGCCCTCTGTCTAGATGTGAAGGTGTAGAACACGATGACCGTGCTTCCAATGAAGGCCATAGCATATTCTTCGCTGTTTTACCCATCTCGCTGTTTTTTTTTCACCCATACGCGTGAGGACCTCAATGTTGTGCAGCTGTAGCCTCAGGGTGACCAGTCTGCATATGTGGTGCGTGACTGATTGACCCTGACCCTGACCCTGTACTCGCCGCGCCAGGAGCGCGTGGGCGGCAGGATCGCCACCTTCCGCAAGGGCAACTACATCGCCGACCTGGGTGCCATGGTGGTGACGGGGCTGGGCGGGAACCCGATCGCCATCGTCTCCAAGCAGATCAGCATGGAGCTTCACAAGATCCGCCAGAAGTGTCCGCTCTACGAGAGCAGCGGCAGCCACGTGAGTGGGGCGCGGGACATCCGCGCCGCTGTGCGACGTGGCTCGACTCATCGCGCTCGGCGTGGGTTTGATGCCAACGCTATGGCTCAGGGGCAGCTGGTTGGTCTAGGATCGCGCCCTGCGAAACTGTGGGCGAATTCTCAATTCGAGGGTAACTGCTGGCTTGGTGCTCATAAGCTATAAGTCAGTCACCAGGTTGGAGAGAATCCTTAAGCGTCATCCGTGGTCTATATGATGCTTGCGCTTCTCACAGGAGGTGCCTAAGGACAAAGACGAGATGGTAGAGCGCGAGTTTAATCGCCTGCTAGAAGCCACCAGCTACATCTCCCACCAGCTCGACTTCAACTATGTGGGCAACAGGGCGCTGTCGCTGGGCCAGGCGCTCGACTGGGTCATCAAGTGAGCACCCGCCCTCACTATTACTGGTCATAGCGTTGAATGCCATCGTGCATTACTCTCGGTTTGCTTTATGAGACGTGGTATGCATACATTCAGCGTGTGCGTGTATGGTAGCGTGTGCATGCTGTGGCTCACAGAATTCACAGTCAGTTGGATTTGAGAGTATAAGTAAGTGGCCGGATAGAAGTGGACACACTGTAAGTCAATATTCATAGTTGGACATGCTATATGTACTCTCCTGTATCTTTCTGACCAGTGACTGCCTCCATAGGCTGCAGGAGAAGGCAGTGAAAGACAAACAGCTTGCCCACTTCAAGCTGATCATCTCGCTACAGGAGAAGCTGAAGGCCAACCTGCACCGGGTATGCTTCATCTCAGCCTGGCTACCGTTCGTGGAGCTTAGGCCAACAAGGCAGACACTGTCTGCATGCCTCATCATCCGAAAGGCACTGGCCGCGATCGAGGCTGTTTTCTCCACAGCCTACAGTAATGTTTGCAGCACTGGCCCATTTTTCTCATGTACCTCGTCGGTGTATGCGTTCGACGTTGGGACGTGGCTGGCCGCTTCACCGGCGGGGTTATGAACTGCAAGGAAATGTGTTGGGAGCGCAGGGTGCTTACAAACCGTCACTGTTACCTCTGGCTGCTCCTGTGAGCGCCTCCACGCCCGCACGAGCCGTCTTTTGCCCCTCACCTGACATTGGCCCTTGTCCGAGCCTCGCCTGTCAGCACCAGCGCCTGTCTGATGCCCCGCTGACACCGGCCGCCCCGCTGCGCCCTCGGTCGTGACGCGGCCCTGACCCCGGCTCCCGGCAGCTGTCCGAGCTGGGTGACCGCATTCGTCAGCTGCATCAACAGCACAAGAAGCTCAGCGAGGAGAAGACCGGCAAGGACATCACCCAGGAGTTTGTCATCCGCACCAAACGCTACGATCTGACGTGCGCGCTCAAGGTCAGCCGACGGCGTGGCGGCCTCAGCGTCGCGTGCGACCGGTCTAAGAAGGCGCGTGGTCGAGTGTACTGCAAGGACGGCGTTTATGGTAGCAGCGTTCGTGCTAAGTGCGTGTTTGTGCGAAAGAGTTCGTTAGTATTCCGGAGGACCATCGACTTGATTCGAAAACAGACGCTGAAAAGGAAGAGTCTCTATTAGCCAAAAAGTTGCAAGGCAAATGTAAGAGAGGGATTGGAAGGGCGGCATCGCGCACTCCGAGGTCGTCGTCGTAAACGCTGACGCGGCTCGCGTCGTGCCGCGCCGTCGGAGCCTGAACGTAGACTGCTCGGCGGGAACCGTGCGTCCCCGCCCGCGTGTCCCCATAAACCCACGTGGCCCACATATGGGCTCCAGATGGTGGGGACCAATCAGCAGAGGGGCCGCCCACACCATCGCGGAGACGCCGCCGCCGCGCCGGCAGCGACGGCCCGTTTGCTCGCTAACAGTGCGGCTTGTTTGTTACTGGGACGACATCCCCGCTCCCGCAGTAGGACTTATGGTTTGACGGTAGCTGTCAGGTCGCACCGTGTTATTCAAAATATAGGCTTGTCATGCTTCTTCATGACACGACTGCCCCGTGCCAGTCTGACCATAACACGGTTCCCTCGTGCCAGTCTGACCGTGACCGACTGCACCCTGTCAGTCTGACCGTGACACGACTGCCCCGTGTCAGTCTGACCGTGACACGACTGCCCCGTGTCAGTCTGACCGTGACCGACTGCACCATGTCAGTCTGACCGTGACACGACTGCCCCGTGTCAGTCTGACCGTGACCGACTGCACCATGTCAGTCTGACCGTGACACGACTGCACCGTGTCAGTCTGACCATGACACGACTGCCCCGTGTCAGTCTGACCGTGACACGACATGACCCCGTCTCAGTCTGACCGTGTCGTGACCAGTGGCCGGCGGACCGTTCGTGACGAGACGGCGATCGGACGTGAGGCGCGAGCCCACGCTGTCTGCCAGCCAAGTGGTCAGGTGTTCGTCACGATGTGAAATAGGCGGGTCATATCAAATAGGCGAGTGCCCCTGGCCTCGCCGGGGCGCCGCCCTCTCTTTGACCGGCTGCTTTCTGGCAGGAGTGGGACCTGCTGCACGAGCAACAGAAAGAGATCGAAGAGAAACTGCACGAGTTAGAGGCCTCCCCACCCAGGTGAGCCTCCAGACGCGAGCGACATGAGGGGCGGGATGCCGTGCTGCAGGCATCCCAGCCGGAATGTGGCGCCTCTATTTGGCACATTGTCTTTCTAAATGGTATTCTCAGGCAATCCGTTACACGCCTTACAGGGCAGTGTGGGACATTCCGTCACCCTGGACCGCCGGGGGAGCGGGTGGGGGTAGTGTAACCTGGTATATCGGTACCAAGCAACGCCGGATCAGAAGACGGCACTCATTGATACTGAGTCGCAGTTTCCGTTCTTGTTTCTAGTTTGAGAAGTGATGTGGGGCCAGAATAGACGTGAAACTTGCATTTGTGACGCCATGTTAAGTCAGTGACCAGACCTAACATGGAATTTGGTTCGGTCCGGTTGCGTTTGATTGGTCTCTGTTGTCACTATCCCGCCCTGGTCACTTAAAATTTGATGGACATGCCTTCCTGGTGCGGTTTGGAAAGCATGTCCGAAGCTTTGAAGGGTCCCGTCCCCCCACCACCATCGGAAGTCAGTGAGTTGATACCGCTGTCCTTTGAGACCTGACATTTTTTATCGCCTCCGGTCCGGTCCCCCCCCCCCCCCCCCCGGAACCATCGTGGCGACCATCAGGTGTCACCATCTCGGTTCTCACCATGTCCGTTCTTAGCACCTCAATTCTGACCGTCTCACCATCGCAATTCTCACCGTCTCATCGCTTCTGTATTGTGGGACAGCGACGTGTACCTGTCGTCGCGGGACCGCCAGATCCTGGACTGGCACTTCGCCAACCTCGAGTTCGCCAACGCCACGCCGCTGTCGAATCTCTCGCTGAAGCACTGGGACCAGGACGACGACTTCGTCTTCACTGGCAGCCACCTGACCGGTGAGAGGTGGCCGGAGTCGGGCCGGCGCGACCGACCCCCGCCGGCTGCCGCGGGCTGACGGGGGTGAGGCGGGGCGAGATGGGCCGGCGGCTCTATTTTGGTCGGGTTGTGTGGGCTGACCGGGTGCATGCCGGCCTGACCTGGTAGGCAAGTCGGTGTGGAGGGGTCGATGTGTTGGGGTACCCGACCCGGTCGCGATGGCACCTAGGCGTCCAGAATAGGTGCGCTTGGCCTGGGCAAATGGACACCCCTACCTGTTGCGCTGTTTAGTAGTATAAGAAGTAATTGAGTTCAAAGGACCCTGATGGTCCGGGTTGGCACCTAAGGACCTTCCTGCGGACCTCAGCGAGCCGCTTACAGCACCTCCAGCCCAGACACTATAGCTGCCCTTGAATGTTGAGACATTCTGGCCAATCTTCTACCCCATCGCACTCGTACGAGCAGAGCGGCGTGGGGCGGGGGTTCAGCTGGTCACCTGGTGGCGCCGGCCCTGACGGACCGTGCGGTGACCGTGCCGCGTGTCCGTGCGCTGGCGCCGGCCCTGACGGACCGTGCGGTGACCGTGCCGCGTGTCCGTGCGCTGGCGCCGGCCCTGACGGACCGTGCGGTGACTGTGCCACGTGTCCGTGCGCTGGCGCCGGCCCTGACGGACCGTGCGGTGACTGTGCCGCGTGTCCGTCCGCTGACGCCGGCCCTGATGGACCGTGCGGTGACTGTGCCGCGTGTCCGTGCGCTGGCGCCGGCCCTGACGGACCGACCGTGCCGTGTGTCTGTGCGCTGACGCCGGCTGGTGGTGTCATCAGTGCGGAACGGCTACTCGTGCGTGCCGGTGGCCATGTCGGAGGGGCTGGATATCCGCCTGAGCACGGCCGCCACCAAGATCGCCCACGACCGCGCCGGCGTCACCGTCGAGACCAGCAACCCGCGCACCGGCGCCACCGCCGCGTTCCAGGGTACGGACCGGCCGACGGGCGACGCCCCTCCCGGCTGGAGAGCGCGGCCGCGACGTTGGCGGCGAGACCTGCATAGGATGGCCTGGTGACATGAGACGACTGGGTGGATCGCTGGGTGCGTTGATGTCAGATGTGCGTGTTGACATGTCACACTGCAGGGTCTTCGCGCTGCGACACGCGCTCAGTGGTTGGTTTTGGGTGGTTTTGGTTTTGTAGCCCACGTCGCCTCTTGTGGCCGCCACCACGTTCGATCTACCGCGGGGCGTCGGAGACTGGCGCCGTTAACTGGCGCAGGTGACTGGCGCCGGTGACTGGCACCGGTGACCGGCTCCGGAGACTGGCACCGGTGACTGGCGCCGGTGACTGGCACCGGTAACTGGCGCCGGTGACCGGCTCCGGAGACTGGCACCGGTGACTGGCGCCGGTGACTGGCACCGGTAACTGGCGCCGGTGACTGGCACCGGTGACTGGCGCCGGTGACCGGCTCCGGAGACTGGCACCGGTGACTGGCGCCGGTGACCGGCTCCGGAGACTGGCACCGGTGACTGGCGCCGGAGACTGGCGCCGGTGACCGGCTCCGGAGACTGGCACCGGTGACTGGCGCCGGAGACTGGCACCGGTGATTGGCACCGGTGACTGGCGCCGGTGACTGGCACCGGTGACCGGCTCCGGAGACTGGCACCGGTGACCTGGCCCGGTGACCTGGCATCCGGAGACTGGCACCGGTGACTGGCGCCGGTGACCGGCTCCGGAGACTGGCACCGGTGACTGGCGCCGGAGACTGGCACCGGTGACTGGCACCGGTGACTGGCACCGGAGACTGGCGCCGGTGGCTGACGGCCGCCGCCGTCGCAGGTGACGCGGTGCTCTGTACGCTGCCGCTGGGCGTGCTGAAGCAGTGTTTCGCGCCGGCCGGCGTCACCAACGCACCCCGCTTCGAGCCGCCGCTGCCCGAGTGGAAGGCGGCCGCCATCGACCGGCTCGGCTTCGGCAACCTCAACAAGGTGGTGCTCTGCTTCGACCGCATGTTCTGGGACCCCAACTCCAACCTGTTCGGCCACGTGGGAAGCACCACCACCAGCAGAGGTCAGTCAGAGGGGGTGTGGTGCCGTCGCCGGCCGGACCCCGGCTGTCCGGTGTCGACGCAGACGGGGTGCGGCGGCGCTGGCCATCCGCGTCTCAGCGTGTGCTGGCCCTTTCGTACCGCGCCTGGCGTCTGTCAGCTTGCAGGCTGACTCCGCCGGTGGGAATTCCATGCGTCGAAGAGAGCGTAGTGCCTACTGACGTTCGCTTGCGATTGTGGCAAGCATTGTACAGATGGTTGGCTTTGTTTCGCCGTCATGGGTAAGGATCAGTCCATGTTAATGGTCGCATTTTCTGTGTCGGGCTCAGTGGATTTTGGTACTGCGTTTATTGCAGCAACGAAATACCCGCGTGCGTGTGTAGAGCACCGGGCTATTGGCACTCCTGTTCCGGATCGGTTACGTACAGCGTCAGTATGCTCCCCCCCCCCACGCCCAGATGTGTGTGTGTGTGTGTGTGTGTGTGTACCTCGGGCGTGCCACCCCGTGTCCCGGAGCCTACGCAGCAGTCTGACCCGTGCATGGCCGCCCTCAGGCGAGCTGTTCCTGTTCTGGAGCCTGTACAAGGCGCCCGTGCTGCTGGCTCTGGTGGCCGGCGAGGCGGCGGCCATCATGGAGACCGTCACCGACGCCGTCATCGTCGGCCGCTGCATCGCCGTGCTCAAGGGCATCTTCGGCAGCAGCGGCGTGCCGCAGGTGCGGCCGCATGGTCCGGGAGAGTGTCTGAAGGCACGCCACCGTGCATCACTGCAGCTCATACCTGTCCACAGTTACTGGCGAGAATAGTTTCGAAGTTACTGCAGCGTGCATGGCATAATCGATTACCAGCGCCGCACTGGGTGTTGGCCGCTGTCGTGGGGTCAGCTGTGCAGGCCAGCTGTGTCTCGATGTAGAGCATTAATGTGCCATGTGGTCATGAAGTCACGCCACTGGTTCCGAGCCCGCCGGTGTGTCGTGCGCATGTGTCCGGCTAGTTCTGTGATGTGCCGGTTCGTGTCGGCGGTCGTCGACCAGGTCGTCGACCCTGGCGCGGTCCCGCCCTTCGCCCCCCCCCCCCCCTCCCCCTCCCCTGCCGGTCGCTAACCGGAGCGCGCGCCGCTCACCGCCAGCCCAAGGAGACGGTGGTGACCCGGTGGCGGGCCGACCCGTGGTCACGTGGCTCCTACTCGTTCGTGGCCACCGGCAGCTCCGGCAACGACTATGACGTCATGTCGGCGCCCGTCTCGCTGCCCACGCAGGGCGACCAGGCTCAGGTGGGTGACGTCTGTTGTCTATTCACGGGCACCAAACCCAGGCGGGTGACGTCATGTGCCCTGCACGGTCGGGCACCAGGCTCCGATGAATGACGTCACGCTGTTGTCCTTTCGAGGGGACCAAGCTCAGGTGAGTGATGTCTTGTCTTCCTACACAGCTGCATGCTAGGCTCTGACAGGTGATTTTACGCTACTGGCGAACAAGCGAAAGCTGGATCACTTCGCTCAGTTGAGCGGTACATGCTTCAGTAACATTACACTCTTCTATTCCATGCGCTGCCGTGGACCATCGCTCGTGCCGTACTGGTGGCGGCGGCTGCTCGTGTCCCCGTCCCGGCGCCTCCTGACAGCTGCCCGCCGCCCATCAGGTGAAGCCGCGTCTCTACTTTGCCGGCGAGCACACGGTGCGCAACTACCCGGCCACCGTGCACGGCGCCATGTTCAGCGGACTGCGAGAGGCCGGCCGCGTCGCCGACAACTTCCTCGGGCCTTCGTACGGACCACGGCCCTGAGCAGGAGCCTCGTACGGGCTGCCGCCATGAGGAGCCTCGCACGGACCACGGCCCTGAGCAGAAGCCTCGTACGGGCTGCCGCCATGAGGAGCCTCGCACGGACCACGGCCCTGAGCAGAAGCCTCGTACGGACCGCGGCCCAGAGCAGAAGCCTCGTACGGGCTGCCGCCATGAGGAGCCTCGCACGGACCGCGGCCCAGAGCAGAAGCCTCGTACGGGCTGCCGCCATGAGGAGCCTCGCACAGACCGCGGCCCTGAGCAGAAGCCTCGCACGGACCGCGGCCCTGAGGAGCTCCGGAGCTCCTCAGGGCCGCATACGAGCCTCACACGAGTCACGACCTGAGCAGGGCTTGGTCGGAAAAGACAAGGAAGCCCCTGAGGTGGCCGCCGCTCGGCTGCTCGGCTCCTGTACGCCTGCACCGGGCCAGACGGACTGCATCTCGGCGTCACTCTGTACCGGCATCCAGCCGCATGTCGGGTGTGCGGCTCCAGCTCTGTCCTCGCGAGGGGAGCCCGATGCGTCCTCCCACGGCACCGTCGGTGGGACGGAGCGCTGTGTAACGGATGCCGTGTGCCCAGCAGTCGGCTGCTGTGTCGGCGCCGACTTCTACTCTGCGCACGCCGACGGCCCAGCCAGCAGCCTACGCCACCGACCCCGCTGGCGGTCTGGTGCGCTGAAGCGGCCGCCCAAAGCCGACAGGGGACGGCGGCTCCCCCAGCGACGCGTGCACGTGCTGAGAGGCGCGTTCTGCTTGCGCGTTATGACTTCCAACCACTAGGATGTGTACGCGGGCTCAATTAGTCCTTACGATTTTCTGTTTGAGCGGTCGAGATCTCACACGAGCGCCAGACTCGGTCACAGGTTCCTGGGTGCTTACGCCAACATGTCTTGCTGGTTGAGCGCAACGGTGGCAGAGGATGGGCTCGCATTCTTTGTACTTTCAGTGACGCTGAACCTGCAATGTGTCTCAGTGTCTGCAGTTGCCAGCGCTTAGATGACATGAAGGGCGCTTGCCTGCGTCAGTCAAATGAAAAGTCGGACTTCGCCGCCCTTTGTGTCGCTAAATGTGTCAAGATACTGGCTATTGCCATACGCACCCAACCTTCATTTTTAATACACATGGTGTCTTGTAACTCGGGGTATGGCGTGATTTATGGCCGCCGTGTCGTGATCTGTGGCTCACATGTGCTGGCCCACAGTACGGGGGCTGCCATGTGCCCCCTCCCCCCAAATTGTGTCACCAAAGACTCCCGCGGTACTTGCGCCCATGAATCGGTACCGGGGCACTGCAGCCCGCGGCGTGCGGCTGCAGCTGGCATCTACTGGCTACCGAACGGACTCGGGCGTGCCCTTTGAATAACGCCACCGCTGCCAGGTCCCGCCCGCTGTAACGTCGTTCCACGAAGGAGCGACCGTGCCCCGGACAAGTTTCCACCGCCCCCGCCCCTTCCTCCCCCCCCCCCCCCCCCACACCCCGTTACTCCCTCACGGGTGACGCGGCCGCAGTCGCCGCGGCGCCCGGGGGTAAAAAGTGCCCGGTGGCACGCGACGGCAGGTGGTCTCGTGGCGCCTCACAGTCCGGCACGTACACGGACCGGCCGAGCCACGTGCGTGACGTCAGCCGAGATCAAATGGCTCGGGCCCGCCGCGAGATAAACGGGGTGGCGCTGGTGCGGACACACGTTAGGTCTCTGCGACAAGGGAACTTCCTGCGTGGAATGCAAGAATGCGGCGTGGTGGTGAGGAATGCTCGTCATATTGAGCTAGTTTTCCTGGATAGACGGACACACGCATCGCTGTTGCGAGTTCTTCGTTTTTCGAAAGAACACAAAGCCAACTAAATGATGTCGAGTCGTGAAATTTAAGGTGCAGGCCAGCATTGTCGCAGTAGTACGCGTGTCGTAACTTGTACCGCAGTAACCACAGCGGAAAGTCGACTAAATTCTTAACGGGACAGCGATGAGGCGCGTTGTTAAAACCATCCCGCCCGCTCCAAAATCAATCATCCCACCTGTTTTCATGCAGTGACCATATGGCTTCATGATTGGTGGACATATAATTGCATTATACCTGGCTTTTAGATGAATCATGCCGGTACGACGCATGATGCGTCGTACCGGTCGTACATGACGCTAGATCGGTCAGCGACGAGCGATCCAGCTGGGTATACATGGGCAGCGAAACTTGCATCACTTGAGTCACACATGTGAAGCAGCACTCGCACCCTGATTCGCAAAGGCATGTTGAAGGCAGGTTTATAAAGTCCTGCTCACATCGCATGCATCACATGTATTTGGTAGCACAGGTACACTTGGAAAAAGAACGGTGGCTCTTCTTCGCCACAGAAAGGCAAAGTTGCACATGGCGTGTTAAGAAGAACGCTGCTCCTGGTCGCTTACATACAGCGAAGCGAACCTGCCTAGGATGTGGGCACAACCGCTACGATTTTTGGAGCCTTCAAGTTACTGAGGAAGTTACATCGTGTCGCACATGAATGTAGTAAAATAGCTGCTTATGTGACTCCGCAGCACCCCATTCCTGCTGGGTGCTCGCCACTTACCGCTCATTATACTCGTGCACAACATGACGAGGGGAGATCGAACCCGATCCGTGAGGGGCCGTTACACCAGGCTGTCTTTCCATCCACCCCTCTCTGACAACATGCGGTTCTCACGCCGTCCTCACGTGCCCCCCCCCCCCCTTCAACCATGCCGTCGTCTGGTATCGTCCTGTCCCTCGCAACATTGACAGTTCTACGAATAGTTTTCGTTCCCGCTTGCCGCTCTCTCCTCGATTCATTTCGTTTTGTGCTTACAGCACGTCCTCCCCTCGCATAAGCCCGTCCCTCCGTGCCATCGTCTCCTCACACCATGCAGCTCTCCTCCGCTGTCATCTTCTCACATGGCGCCGTTCCCCAGGAGAGCCCCGTGCTCAGCTCAGGGCGGCGTCCATCGCCGGCCCGCCGCGCATCGCCTGCTGCCGCCACAGCAGCGGCTGCTCTGGCAGGCGGGACACGCCACTCATGTGCCACTCTGGGCCGGCAGCTGCCGCCACAGCAGCGGCTGCTCTGGCAGGCGGGACACGCCACTCATGTGCCACTCTGGGCCGGCAGCTGCCGCCACAGTCCGGGCCTTGTCCTGACACGCCACTCATGTGCGAGGGCCGGCAGCTGCCGCCACAGTCCGGGCCTTGTCCTGACACGCCACTCATGTGCGAGGGCCGGCAGCTGCCGCCATGGGCCGGGCCTTGTCCTGACACGCCACTCATGTGCGAGGGCCGGCAGCTGCCGCCATGGGCCGGGCCTTGTCCTGACACGCCTCCCTGCCGGCGTTTCTTCCGACGCGCCGTCCGCGCCGGCCGCGCCATTTCCGTACACGGCCTGCTGCCACAGCGCGGGTGCTTGCCGTTCCCACCGTCGCGGCGTCATCGGCCGGACTCAGTCGCTGTCGTCGTCGTCGTTGTTGCGGTGCAGCGGGCGCCGGCTCTCCTCGTCCGAGCCGTAGATCACATCCTCGTCCGAGTCGTTGATCATGGAGAAGGCCGGGTTGTCCTTCACCACCCTGGGCTCGGCTGCGAACCACGCGCCGCGTCAGCCGCCGAGCATAGATCGCCAGCGTCCCCGGCCCACGAGCACAGACCGCCAGGGTCCCTGGCCCATGAGCACAGACCGCCAGGGTCCCCGGCCCACGAGCACAGACCGCCAGGGTCCCCGGCCCACGAGCACAGACCGCCAGGGTCCCCGGCCCACGAGCACAGACCGCCAGGGTCCCCAGCCCACGAGCGCCGACCGCCAGCGTCCCCGGCCCACGAGCACAGACCGCCAGGGTCCCCGGCCCACGAGCACAGACCGCCAGGGTCCCCGGCCCACAAGCACAGACCGCCAGGGTCCCCGGCCCACGAGCACAGACCGCCAGGGTCCCCGGCCCACGAGCGCAGACCGCCAGGGTCCCCGGCCCACGAGCACAGACCGCCAGGGTCCCCGGCCCACAAGCACAGACCGCCAGGGTCCCCGGCCCACGAGCGCAGACCGCCAGGGTCCCCGGCCCACGAGTAAAGTGACTAACAAGGCTACCGAAGTCCAGTCTGCCTGGTCGAAAAGGAAAAAAAGAAAAAGAACCAAAATTACCCAATGTGCTTCCAATCTTCCAGGGGCGTGAGTTTTACCCCCCCCCCCCCGAAGTTTATCCCTCAGGAGAGCCATATTGGTCAGAGTGGTGTTTGTGCTACGCCGACTTGTGAGACGAAGGCAATGCACGACAGCCATAACCTTATGCGATGTTCTAACAATACGTTATCTTTTCCTCAGGGCTCTTACGAAGGACGAACGCATCGTGTTTTGAAATGGCTGGGATTACCTACAATCAAATTTAAATATCTTAGAAAAGCTTCAAAAAGGCAGCTGGGGGCACTCACTGCGCTGCCATCGTAAAGACTTTCAACACAATCTTAGCAAGGGTCTTTCAGAAGGTGTGCGCGTCCGCATGCCAACAAGCGATCGCATCCAAAAGGTTGGTGCGTTCTCTGTGCGGCGCCTGAGCGTTCGCCCGTCCCGCAATGCGAGTCAGACGGACGCCGGTGGCGACTTTGGCTCAGCACCGACGGGGGTCGCAGCGTCGGTCCCCGCAATGCGCGAAAGGCTAATGTCACCGGCCTTTGAGGATTTTCCGCTCACGGAAATGCAATAGCCGCTATTTTGCGCATCGGTTAATCCGACAGCGCGTCATGCTCCACGGGCGAATTTTTTTCTCCACTGAACCAGCCTTCACACTGCCAAAAATACCAGTCACCGGGTCTTCTGTCAAGCTCACGCAAAGCGTTCAGCTCCGCATCTGCAGCAAGCGCCTGTCAGGCACGGCTTCCTGTACATATTACGCCACGGATATGTAAACTCGTGAATTCCACAGTGTCATCTTCGGGGGGCGGGAGGGGGGTTACCCTTTTCCGTAAGTCATGTAGACCCACGTTTTTTTCAATTTTCACTATGTTTGGCTTCTGAAAGGAAGTTAAAAAAACAGAATGATGCGTTTCTCCTGCGCTCCCCTCCCCATCCCCTGAGAAAGACTTGTCTCCGCCCCCGGTGAGTTCTGACCCAACGAATCAAGCGACCTACCTCCCGGGCGGTCGGCCGATGGTGGAGAGTACACGTAGGCCATGCAGAAGACGAACAGGTTCATCAGGCCATAGATGGCCAGAAACTGCGTGGACGAGGTGTAGGAGGTGCCCAACACCGTCGAGAAGCTCATAGCCACATGTGATTGGCTGAGCCGATGTGACGTCAGACTAAGGCTGACCACGGTCATGATAAGCATGGAGAGACAGGTAACCTTGAGTCGCACCCCTGCAAACAGAATCAGCGCGATAACTTCAAACGGTTAACCAGATCATTGCTGGAAACGCACAGGCCGAAGCCTGCAAGCGGGCAAAATACCATGTTCAGAATCATTAAGGGATGAATTGGTCTACTTCAGCTCAATCATTTGCCAACACACGATATTTGGACATCGCAAAATTCAGGGAAAGTGTCTGTTTTGCGGCCATCCACTTACACATGCGTCCGCGTAATGTTTTTGGTCTACAGGATAACGGGATGAAGATCTAATCTCGGGTATTTTAAGTGATAGCTCGAATGCTGAATTATAACAGTAAGGTAAACAACGAACATACCAGCCGTAAACTTACCTAAGTAGGGCATTGAGCGCAGGTCGCTGCAGGCGCGGAGGATGAGTATCAAAACGTACAGCAGGTAAACGCCTCCAAGGACGTAGAAGAATGTATTGACTCCCTACGAAAGACGAGAGCTGTAAGGCAACGAACCAGCAGAGCCTCAATGTAAATGCAAGTGCTGCATATGTATCATTTCGACTGCGGGTCAGAACCGCTCTCACCGCCAGGCTGGAGTGAAAGCCTGATAACACACGGTGTATCGACCCTGGGAAGCCTCCTGAGCCGCTGCGTACTGGTCAGCGGCACCGCTGTCTCACTGCGGCAGGGCCCGCCATGACGCCACACGGCAGACCTCAGCTGCACGCGCCGACACCCTGTACCTATAACACCGGACCTACGACAGTCTCACATAGGTCAGCGGGCACCACTGACCTGCAGAGGGCCCAGCTCGGTGCCGGTGAAGGTCGGGTCGCGCAGACTGCGGTGGCCGCGCCATGTGATCAGCACCGTACAGAGCAGCCACAGCAGGCCGACCAGCGCCAGCTTCGGCACGTAGAACGTCAGCCATGTGCGGCTGGTCTGTGGACGAACGCAGCGCTCGTTTGCTGGGAGTGAAGGAGAACGACAATATAGTGAAGCAAAGAGCCTGTGGCCTTTTTTATTTTTCTTGGGATGGGTGCCAGAACCGAGACAGAACCAATCACGGGTACGAAGGCAATTTTTTACATGCAGTTGGAGATTTGTGGCAGCCTACTTACTTATCCTCCATCTTCGCGTGGAACCTCAAACATTGGACGTAAAGTATGCAATGTCGAGAAGCGACCACCAGCTATCCATCTCTATGTGAGTGATCAGTTCCTTAAACTGATAAAGAAACAAACCTCCATGCGAGCAAATTATGTTGATGCTTGCTATATGACTTTGACTGCAACCCTTAGCTTCATACCCCGGCCACTGTTTCGCTCCGTGCAATTATGACACTTCCATTGATTGGACGTCCCTCATATCCCATTGATAGATCGCCCCTACCCACATATTATCTCCGCTGGCGCCTGTCAACCCGTTACGGCGGGCCCTTCCGCTCGCTGGCTGACCTGTCTGAGGCCGTGGAGGACGCAGAGCCAGCTGAGGAGCAGGGCGCAGACCAGCGACGCTTGGAGCATGGCGTCCAGAAGCCGCGGGGTGATCGAGTCGCACAGGAACAGCAGCGGGAACAGCGGGTCTGGCGGCACAGCGGCGCTGTGGTGGCCAGTTTCGGCGGCCTGCCGTGGCTGACCACATGGTGGCGGTGACCCTATTGCCGACTCAACCGGGGATGACGTCATGATTGCAGTGAACGGAGACCGCCTGAGCCGGAGCTCATGACGCTGTCGCAGTGAGTTGAGAGATTGCGGCGGTAAACAGCAAAATCCAGTGACGCTCCGTGTTGCTGAGAAAGCACGCAAGGTTTTCTGCTTCCTCAGTTAAGTTGAATGAGCATTTGGCACCGGGAGAGTTGTCGGAACCGCCTTGGAAAAGCTCGGCATTGCTTTGGGATTAGGTTATCTCTAAAGCAATCAGAGTTCCCAGCGTCAGTTTCGGCCGCCCAGGAGCAGGAGCGCCACGCGCCACATACTGTTGTGCGCCACCAGGAGTGGCAACAGGAGCGCCGTCCACCGCTGCTCCAGCGACCAGTCCTGAACGGAGAAGCGGCGCAGAGAGAAGCCGAACCAGCACTGGCGGCAGCGGTGAGATGGGTGTCAGTGGTGTGTTCGCCGCCGAGTCATCGAAGCCCCACCGCCGCGCATTGAACACTTCATTTCACGGAGGTTTGGAGGCAGATTAGTGATGTGGGAATGGCTCTAAAAAGCGGCTGTAGGTCTAATATATGTAGCGTTTGTAATCGCGCACATTGACAAGATGAGAAATGTTAATATCCAGGTTCTGTGTGATAGTTAAGTACGCTGTGAAATGATGGGAAAGTAAAAACATCGCAGGGCCACTTACCGCAACGGAGAAGGATGCAAACAGGAAGATGAACCGAAACCAGAGCTGCAGCTGTGTGAAAGTTGGTTCAAAACTCTGAAACTGTTGAACGTTGGAGATTAGTTCACGCTACATGGTGCATAGATAATCAAATGCAACAAGACGAATCATCCCTCCAGGGCAGTGATATGCGTGTTTTTAGTTAGCTGAAATAAATGACCTGTACCATCAAACTGCTCGTAGTGCATTTGGTTTCGCTGCGTGCTTCAAGCCTCACACTTAATTAGTCCACCAAAGGTGTTTTGCTTTGCTTGTGTTTCTCATCTAAACAGCGTTTTGCCCGTCAGGCCTGCAGCCTGTAAGACAAGCAACAGCACGGTCCAATCCAAATGCCTATTCTTGTCACCCACCGTGTGATATAGGGATGGGAAGGATTTCCAACAACCAAACTTACACAGCACATGACCTTTTTGTTCCGACATGCGAAGGATGTGTATAATGGCGGATGTTTTGTGACCAGCGTGCCTCTGTGATGGATATCGCATGATGTGGTTGTCACCTGGAACACGATGTCTTTAACCGTGTATCGTCTGTTGATGTCTTCTAGGCCGTGGAACCGCAGCACGATGAGGTAGTTGGTGAACCCGAGGTACGTCAGGTGCAGAAGGGAGACTGGGTCACACCGTTTGTTGGAGCACTGCAAGTGTCTCGTCCTGCAACATGCAGCGGACACTGAAGATTTCCCCATACCGGCTTTCGCATCCATAGCCACCGGTCACCGCTGAGAAGTCAGCATCCATGGCCACCGGTCACTGCTGAGAGGTCAGTCAGGTCTACTACTGTATTCTCGTATAGGCCGCCGAGAATGCGCTGGTATTCCATGCACTGGTGCTAGAAAGTAAACGTAAAAACACGCCCCAGTCTAATTAGGGAAACCACCAATCCAAATAGCCCGTGCGGTGTATTGAACTACGCAGGCGTCGTGGACAGATAACGAATAAGAACAGGTGACATGGAAGCATGACAAACCTATTGAAGAGCTGGTCCTCTTTGAACACTTGCAGCTTTTCGTGTCCCTCAGAGAGACCCTCCACGTCCACGGCGATCGTGAAGCGCTTGTCAAACGTTTCATCTGCAGGTGCGCGAAGTAAAGTTAACGGAACAGAGCATTATGCAATGGTTGTCGAACAGGGCCATTGTGATGCATCCCTCCGCTTCTTTGACAAATGGTTCTTGGTCGGAAAAGAATTTACAGAGGAGAGGGCTTTACGGTACGAAGCGAATTACCAGGCGGTGATGTATCTGTACAGAGCAGCCCAGTGAAGCCGCCGCTGGAAGCAGTCACCGGAGGGCATGCTCTCTCCCTGCCGGAGCACGGGGCCCACCTGTGCCGCCGCTGGAGGCAGCCCCGGAGGGCATGCCCTCTCCCTGCCGGAGCACGAGACCCACCTGTGCCGCCGCTGGAGGCAGCCCCGGAGGGCATGCCCTCTCCCTGCCGGAGCACGGGGCCCACCTGTACCGCCGCTGGAGGCAGCCCCGGAGGGCATGCCCTCTCCCTGCCGGAGCACGAGACCCACCTGTACCGCCGCTGGAGGCAGCCCCGGAGGGCATGCCCTCTCCCTGCCGGAGCACGGGGCCCACCTGTACCGCCGCTGGAGGCAGCCCCGGAGGGCATGCCCTCTCCTTGCCGGAGCACGGGGCCCACCTGTACCGCCGCTGGAGGCAGCCCCGGAGGGCATGCCCTCTCCCTGTCGGAGCACGAGACCCACCTGTACCGCCGCTGGAGGCAGCCCCGGAGGGCATGCCCTCTCCCTGCCGGAGCACGGGACCCACCTGTACCGCCGCTGGAGGCAGCCCCGGAGGGCATGCCCTCTCCCTGCCGGAGCACGGGGCCCACCTGTGCCGCCGCTGGAGGCAGCCCCGGAGGGCATGCCCTCTCCCTGTCGGAGCACGGGGCCCACCTGTGCCGCCGCTGGAGGCAGCCCCGGAGGGCATGCCCTCTCCCTGCCGGAGCACGGGACCCACCTGTGCCGCCGCCGACCACGACCCCGGCGCTGAGCCACAGTTCCTGCGAGTACGTGGTCACGCCCGGCGACTTGATGACGTACGGCCCGGACGCCATGCTGAAGCCCTTGGTGCGCGTCTGCAGCTCAGACGCCTTGACCGTGCTGGAGACCATGCCGGCAGGCCCTGCGGCGAGGACGTCACGTCAAGAGCACGGCTGAGGTCGCGCGCTGTTGTGACGGCTTGCAGCAGGCGATACGTCACGGCACGGGTGCTTTTGAAAAGATGCAGGGGAACCGGTGGACATGACATGAACGGCGTCATTAGCACAAAGGACAGTGCTACGGGAGCCTAACAGCGTTGCCAAACCCATTGAGAGTTTCTGGAAACTTGGAGAGAGAGACCATGGTAACAGCCACAAGTCCAGATGGGTATGCACAGACAAAAGCAAGGGTGTTCTGTCTTCGGGCAAGGGCTCGTTCACAATCCAGCCATGCCAACACCGATTCTGCACGGCCTCAGAATCATTAGGGAATGCCTTCGATGGACGATGTCGCCCAATATAAGGCAATGCTTGGTATTCATTTAGCATTTTATATAACGGCCTTGTGACGGGCCTAACAGCGAAGGCCTAAGCGCTTAAAGGAAATGTTTATCTATGTAGGCGGCAAGGTAGTGGCCCAAATAATGAAATCAACGATGGGCACGTATGTTGTAATGACGTGTAGAGACTCACCTGCCATTCCGATCAGAATGACGATGAAAAATGAAAGGAAGAAGCCGACGAAAATGAGGACGAAGTCCCTCTTGTGCAAGGAGTACAAGCGCATCTGCAGAGATCTGGGGACGAATCAATGGCTGCATCAGGTGGTTGTGAGAAAGCTGATGCACAGATGGCCTTCCTCGAAAGGCTAGCACGAGTGTCGTTCCGATTACTTTGTCATTACTTTCCGTGGGTGCTAACGGCCTTTGCGAGTACGTTTAGTGACCACTGTCCATTGTAAGTAGTCAGGATGATGCCACCTGTCAGATCTGCATAACTTGAGCCACAGTACGCCTTCAGAAGCGCCCAGTTGTAATATGCATGAGCTGGAGTAATGCCAGTGACGGCGTCAGACCTATGTTGTAGCTTATCACCACAATCACAGCCGCAGAAGTGACAAAGATGGAACCTGTCGAGGTGGTGACGACGTGACAAATTCATCCCGTATCAATCGTGGAGATGAGATTTGGCGTCATCGGAATCATAGTTTTGACAAACTTTAAGCATTGCCAGTTTTCACTAATTATACGGGCAGCGGCAGCAAACAAACGACGCGTGTCACCTCTCACACCGGTCACCAGGGACACCTCTCATCGTTCACACTGGTCACCAGGGCCACCTCTCATCTCACCCCGGTCACCAGCGACACCTCTCACCTCACCCCGGCCACCAGGGACACCTCTCATCTCACACCAGTTACCAGGAACACCACCCATCTCACACCGGTCACCAGGGACGCCTCTTATTTCCCACACCGGTTACCAGAAGCACCTCTCACCTTTCATGCCGATCACCAAGAACATCTCTCATCTCCCACACCGGTCACCTGAGACATCTCTCATCTCCCATACCGGTCACCAGGGATATCTCTCACCTCTCAGACCGGTCACCAGAGACACCTCTCAGCTTCCACATTGGTCACTAGAGACGCTCTTCACCTCTCACACAGGTCAGCAGGGACGCCTCTCACCTTTCACAGCGGTCATTAGGGACGCCTCTCAACTTTCACGCCGGTCACCAGGAACGCCTCTCAACTTTCCTACCGGTCACCAGGAACGTCTCTCATCTCCCCTACCGGTCACCAGGGACGCTTCTCACCTCTCACACCGGTCACCAGGGACGCTTCTCACCTCTCACACCGGTCATGGTGGTAGGCTGGCGCCAGGTGGCGGCTGAACTGGCTGAACAAGTCGCTGAAATGGGCGAACAGGCCGCGCACACCGCGGCCGCCGGCTCCCTCGGACGAGGGATGGAACGAATAGCCGTGCTGCATGTCGACGGGGCCGGCTGCGGTGCCGCTGGCGCTGACGCTGACCGGCTGCGGTGCCGCTGACGCTGGCGCTGGCAGGCTGCGGTGCCGCTGGCGCTGGCGCTGGCCGGCTGCGGTGCCGTTGGCGCTGACGCTGGCCGGCTGCGGCGCCGCTGGCGCTGGCACTGACCGGCTGCGGTGCCGCTGGCACTGACGCTGGCCGGCTGCGGCGCCGCTGACGCTGGCGCTGGCCGGCTGCGGTGGCGCTGGCGCTGGCGCTGGCCGGCTCCCGCCGCCGCCGCCGCCGCCGCCGCCGCCGCCCGGTCCGCCGCTCCCGTCCCATCGATCGCCCGCTGAGAGCCCCGTCCAGGCGCGTGCGCAGTGCCGCGCCCGCGCCACATCGTCTCCGTTGTTTTGCGCCGTACAGGAGACCGCGCTGTCGGCTTACGGCGACCTATTGATTGGCTTTAACGCGGATGCACATCCAAAACAACGTAGGTATGGATTAGTCGGTGAGGAGGTCGGGCTCAAATATGCCACATTTTGGGGTACTTTAACTATTTTTCGGCGATTTTAGGTGTTTTGGCCAATTTTAAGAGAAGGGAACGGGTGTAGGGAGTTTAAGGAAGAATCCCTCCAAAGGAATACAAAACTCAATTGATGGTCGAAGATGACTTAAGTCAGTTCAGTCGTGACTTATCACGCGCCCAGATGGCCGATTGAATACCCTTTGCTCGGGTGGGAATCGATTTGACCCATTGAGTTCCCAAAAACTGAGGAAGCTGGATGCACGGCATTGACAAGGTCGGTCAGCCTGCCTGTGAAATGTCGAAATTTGATATTTCTAGACATGGCACCAGATAGCTGTTTTAGCAAAGGCTCACTAGTTTTCATTTAAGATCAGTGCCCTTTTTGACCTTGATGACGTCAATATGACCAAAAACCCACGAGATTGCTTTTGTTCCGCAACTTGAATGACAGTCAGGCACTACAATGAGTGATATGTTCCTAAAACCAAATGTTGACCTGGGTCATTGTAGGTCAATGACCTACTCTTACATTTTGGAAGTCCATGAAACATGTCTGTTGCGATTCCTGCTGTTAATAAATTCGAAGTGAGCACCAAAAATTACCTCATAAAGCAAGTTGCCGAGCAACAGATCAGGTTAGGTTTGCCCTCAGTCTGGCCTTCATACCTGACCCTAGGTTGATGGAATGTGCTGCAATTCTGAACTCAATTGTCTTATCGCCTAAGGAACTATCTCGGAGATGTATGGCTTCGTCCATCACCCCGTTGTCGCATCACATTGAACGATTCCATAGAAATTACCTTGGCTGGCAGCCACGACTCGACGTTGAGCTGACATAGGTCAGCGACTTTGCAAGGCACATCTGATTTTGTTATGCCAAATGATATGTTATTCAGTTGTCTATAGCTAGGCAAAGTTTATCGTGACTACGCTGTGGTGTTCACATATCACTCGGGAAAAACATTCGGGGCTCAAATTAGCCCCCATCCGAGCGTGTGTTAAGATTCGAAGATGGAAAAAAGCATGAAACCACTACCGCGGCCAGAATGTCCCCGCAGAGCCACTTGCCCATGGTGCAATCAAGCAATGAACTGGGGAGTCTCGTGTTACAAGTAGATTGGTCGGCTGTTGGCTCAGCAGCAGCAGCTATTTGTCTTCCTTGTACCTACTTCTACGGAGACTGCACACAGCTAGTCTGTCATTAGGTCGTGCGTCGTGTGAATAAAAACGGCACGGGGCGTGCGCAGGCAAAAAGACGCACGCTCGTCCGGCATCACGCAGAACAAATTAAGACCACAGCGTACAATAAGTCACAAGATTGCATGTGCGCACTACGAAACACACGGGAGATAACAATTAAAACCCCTACTCAAATTAGGCACTATGGTTCGTTATTTTGGTTGTTTTACTTGGTAGAGGTTTAGTTGGTGTATAGGTTTACGACCTAAAGGTCTCAGTATCATGATTAAAGGACAGCCTCACTGGGCGTTATATAATAAGTGCGTTTCCGGCTTGTTCTAGCCTGGGGTAGCCTGTTGGACATGCATGGACAATGGTCTTGCCAATCAAGTTCGGTGCCGGCGCGTGGGAGGAGGTGGGCCATCCCGCCGCATTCTGCCGAGGCCGGACATCAACATTTTACATGAAGAGGGGGGGGGGGGCAACAGGCGATGGCTTCCTTTTTATAAATGCTTCATGCGAAAGCGACACAGCGATATTCAGCTGAATGTCTGGGCAACCAGCGATACTCAGCTGAATGTCTGGGCAGCCGTGTTACTTTGTACACTTTTGGAGGCCAGTTTTGCCAGATACCACTGTTGCATAGATACAGATTACACTTCGAAGAAGCTTGATATTTTTTCCCAACACACCGCCGGACACTGTAGTTCAGTGACAACCCTGCAAGAAGACCGGACGAAGCGCTTAAGTGGCTGCGATTACGTGCTAAGTTATATTGGATGCTGCACGTCTGATCAATTTAGCGTTGGCTGAGTCGTTTCGGCTTCCTACCGCAGCCGAGCAGTCGAAATTGCACCCACTGCCTTCTTAACATTAGCTGGTTATCACAACATTGCTCATTGCGAATCATCGGGACCAATATTCTCTCCATGGAAAGCTCCCCATGGAGAGCGATGGCCCTGTCTTGAGCGCACTTTCACGATGATAATCCCATGACCACGCCAAATACTTACACCACTTGGTATAGCCTTCCCATGGCATGCGTTGTTTCACGCGTTCAGTGCAATTGGGGTGTTGATCGATCGCATTTTTAAGATAGTTTTATGACGCAACATTACACACTGCGACCTCATCTTGCCATGGTTTCAGCAAATTCCCTTCCCTCGCTGCGGTTAGCAAGGCTTTTCGATCAGGAATTGACGCGGGCAAGTAGCACTGCATTTCATCGTGCAAGGTTACCTGACTCGTCGACAATGCCGCCCCTCCCTGGACTAAATGAAAACAAATTATTATTTTGAATAGTGCCTGTTAAAAGGTCAGATACCCGTTCGACAATATCTCCTCTCCTTCCTCATGAGCATTCTTGATGTGCGCCTGGTTTGGAGGACGTTTGTCGAGGGATTGGCATTGAACATGCTTTTGAAGTCATTAGTCGAGTGGAAGGCGCAGCATAAAATTATAAATGCAGCGAGCAATGGCAAGCAAGTCGTACTATAACTTAACGAGCCTGATATCAACAACAGAATCTTGACCGTGGACGTCACAACTGGAAATAGAGTGCAAAAAGAATCGCGTCTGCTAGAACATGGCAATAAAAGTGTCTCGCCTATTCTGAAATACTGACGGTGTCATAACTAAACGTCCGGAAATTCCTCCAACGCGTTATTACGCTTCAGTCGGAAAACTTCGTCTACACTGACTGTGCTTTCATGAAGGCGAAATTTACTCGTGTGATTGGGCTGCAGGACGCGACTGTGTCCGTGGTTTTGCGCAGTTCCGGTTGGCTAATGACCGATTGTTGATCGAAATAGAAAGTCGCCAGAACTTAGGCACCAGACATGGCTTTGTGATGGTTGGTCGTAACCAACTGACCTCGGTTTTACGTATTTATTAATGTATGTGCGTGTATTTGTTTTTCTCGAGGTGGCAGTGGGTTGGATAGCGCCGAACGCCCAGTGGTCTGTATCTTGCCATTATAATTCTGAGTCAGAGCCAGAAGGTGAAACGGCTGGGAAGCATAATGTTTGAAAACGGAAGTGACAACTTGATTCGATCGACTACGATTCCATACCAGCCGCTACATCTGAAATCTGGTGCAGTCTAGGTGTAAATGTATGATGGTCGTTTTACATTTCATATTTGCTTGCAGGCGGGGGGCGGGGTACGGGGTTTCTTAGGCATACTCACGCACGCGCACACGCACACGCACACTCACGCAAACACACACACGTACACACTCATATATATATATATATATATATATATATATATATATATATATATATATATGTTGCACGTCTTCAAACACGTACCTGAATAGTAATTCGAATGCATGCCGTCAGCACCAAGCCCTTTCCCACCATCAAGCATACGACCGGCGTGCTCTCCTGCCCTGTGGGCCTTGTCAAAGAGCGCACACCATCGCATTGGGCTCAGGATGTGTCATGGCAGCTTGTGCTGAGAGGGCACGGTCGGGTGCTTTGGTCAGCCGAGCACTCGACTGATTCCATCCATCGACTTTACCCCCCCCCCCCTCCCCCCGCCCGCCCCTGCAGCCGTGCTGGTGCCTTCCATTAGACGCGATAATTCGACTGTGTCGAAGAGCCACTCGGGGCCATTAGCCTCGGACAACGCCTGGGCGTTCGAAACTGCCCCATGGTACGCGGACAGCTCGACACTTTCTGGGCTGTTTGCGTGATGAAATCAGTCTGCTCGCCGTGCATTGCTTTGCACGAGTCTCGTAAAAGGGCTTTTCCACATGTCTGACTAGGCTGAACTCATCCGCTGTTGTCCCACAAATGTGATGTGAGGCCTGGTTCATTGGTATACTTGGTAATTGGCACCGTGTAAGTGCTTGCGAGCTTTCTTTGCTAAGGGAAGCTAAGCATCGCTAAGGGATGGGACGGAGCTGACCCTTTGAAAACGAATGGAAATACATGTGGTGTTCTATGGGCTTTTTGTGTTTGCAATACTTTCGTGTTTTGTTCAGCATCGTTGTACCTGGCGAGAAACGGCGAGAAATGGCGAGAAATAAATCAGCCGGACACATCATTTTCTAAAGGTTTTCTTACTAAAACGGTCCAGCGGTTGTCCAGCTTTCCAATACTGCTTTCCAGATTTTCACTTCGGTTTAAATGTTATTGTACAGTCGAAAAGCTTAAAAAATGCTGCGCTTGCAAGTTATTGCCAATGCAACTACCAGATCTCCCTAGTTTCGTCACTACCAGCTGCCAGCTACTGCTCAACGTAGCTGCGATGTTTATGTGCTGGCACATTGCACTGACCCCAAAGCCCACGCCCGCGAAACGCTGGGGGTGCTATTCTGCCGGAGCAGCGTGCTCCGTTTTACAATAGCTGCAATTCATGAGTCTATTCGTCGCATCTTTTGCAAGT